TTTTTTTATTTACTGTATTTATTTTATTTTATTTTTATTTATTTATTTTATTTTTTTTACACCTACACCTCTCCTTCCCTACAGTCATAGTGTATTGAGTTAACTAAATAGTATCAGAATATACTACAAGCCTTCTACAGACTCTTTGCTCTAGATGGCTCTCCTCTCCCACACACTCCCTCCCTAACACCCCTTCCCCTACACCCCATCCCCTACACCCCATCCCAAACACTCCCCGCTCTCCCCCCCTACACCTCCCTTCACCCCCCTCCTATATGAAGTAACTCTGGGCTTTACATTTTTTCCAAGCGTTGTTCTCACACTCGCTATCATTGTTTCCCAGGTGACACAATACTTTTCTTGGAACCTGTGTGTGTGTGTATGTGTGTGTGTGTGTGTGTGTGTGTGTGTGTGTGTGTGTGTAAAATCAGAGTTACATGACATTCACTCCTACGCCTATAAAACACTTTAAACCTAACCTCTCCAAACTAAACCTAACCTAACTCAATGATATCACTCACAAATATCTGCCAGTATCTCATTGTTACATTTCACACCGATTTTTTTTCATCCTACTTATGGGAATAAACTTTTCATTCAATTTTTTTTAATCGTTTTTTCTTTTCTATTTTTTTATTGGTAATATATTAATCAACTTATTGTTTTCATTCTATAATTTATTCAACACTTTGGCTCATATTTTTAGTTTTAAGTTGAGTTAATATCAATCATTAGCTGCATAAATATTCGTTTTAAATTTGCAAAAAAACAAAAAACCAGCAACACCGATAAGATCACCGAGGTATTTACACCGAGTTTATTAAGGTTTTACAGTAATTGGTGGTGTACAGTAATTGGTGGTGTACAGTAATGGTGGTGTACAGTAATTGGTGGTGTACAGTAATTGGTGGTGTACAGTAATTGGTGGTGTACAGTAATTGGTGGTGTACAGTAATGGTGGTGTACAGTAATTGGTGGTGTACAGTAATTGGTGGTGTACAGTAATGGTGGTGTACAGTAATGGTGGTGTACAGTAATGGTGGTGTACAGTAATTGGTGGTGTACAGTAATGGTGGTGTACAGTAATGGTGGTGTACAGTAATGGTGGTGTACAGTAATGGTGGTGTACAGTAAATGGTGGTGTACAGTAATGGTGGTGTACAGTAATGGTGGTGTACAGTAATGGTGGTGTACAGTATTGGTGGTGTACAGTAATTGGTGGTGTACAGTAATGGTGGTGTACAGTAATTTATATGTTTACTGTATGATATCAGGACGAGAGTGGATTATTTTGATACACACGATCTCTAATGCATTTGTGATCATAATAGGCTTAAAACTACTAATTAATTAAAGTAGTAATATGTTCTTGTATAGTTTAAACAGAGCACATATAATTGCATTGTAGTTTATATTAAAAGCTGCTTAGTGCTAGAAGTGACAGTATTTGCAAGAACTGATATTTTGTCTTCCCGCTATTTTGTACACATACGTAAAGGATGTTGCAGGCATGTGTTGAGACAGGAGTGTGTTGAGACAGGAGTGTGTTGAGGCAGGAGTGAGAGTGAGGAGTAGGAGCAACATAAGGGAGTGTCGTTGAGTGTGCGCTGCATTACTGGTAGCTAAAACATGGAGGCCGTCTTGTAGTGCAGCGTTGCCATAGTGCCCCGCCTCGTAATATATTTTGCTGGGGCTTGGTAACAGAGAGGGCCTTTCAGCTCGGGGGTTCGCAAACATTCATTCTTTGGTTGTTGAATCAAATCTTTTGTAGTCTTTGGAAGGAGTAAAGTACTAAGTTTGTTTGCGAGTCTGGGATGGAGTAGGGATCAATCAGTCTTTCATTGAATGGCTGCCCATGCTCCGCCTCCCTCCGTACGCTCCACAGCAAGCCTCACGAGGTGCGCATGCTTTATGACGTCACTGGCACGTCATAGCTTACCAGCCAATAACGCCTGCTCCGTTACATAAAAACCATTACGTTGCGAAGGCTTCTCACATCAAATTACACTGATTATCATTCGAAAGTGAATTTGAAGTTTTGAAGAGCTGTAATGTAAAAGTTGGCAATTTGATATAATCCGTGGGGATGGATGCCAGCGCCCCGCGTTCTCTATTTTGTCCTTAATAACTACAAAGTATTTTCTTGTAGACTATTAGTTCTTATCATCGTATGCGTAATATTATCATGTGTATTGTCTTTATTTTTTTATAATTATGGGCCATGATTACAAAATATCATTACCATTGTTCGTCCACTTTGTCAGTACGTATTATTTAAGGTCTTCTGTATACAGTATACCAAATCCAATATATTATCAACACCTGTGAAAGTCACAATAGATTTTAGGGATTCATTAATTTACGTAAAATAATGTTTTTGTATGCGTTAGAATTATAATACGTTAGATTTTCATAAGTGATGGCAGACTGAATCACCCTCACACAACCCCGGTATAAAAGTGAAGGGGTATTTTGCGCAGTGATATCTGTTCTGACTTTTATATGTACATGTGCATCACCACAACTTGTTCAGTGCAGTAGAATACTTGCCTTCAATAATGTTCCTCAGTATATATTTCAATCAAATTCTCTAGGCTTATATTTATTCGTTAGTTAATACATGTAGACTATAGTGCTTTTATGAATCTATTATTACTTATATTAATAATTATATTTCACTTAAAACATTTCGATAATTTGTTGGTCAAAATTAAGAGAACCGAAGACTGGAGGGTTTATGCCAACTCTTGATCGGGAGGTGTCGGGACACACTATGCTAGGTTAAAAAATTTTCGGGCTGACTGCGCTAGTTGTATATGGCAGGGATTTGGGCACGACATTAAACCAATATAATCTACGTATTACTCGAATTAAATATTTCTAGACATTCTAGATATTTGATGATAGGTATTATTATTATTAAGGGTGTTTGTTTGTGTGGTGAGAAAGGTTTTAGCGTCGCGTCCTCCGATGTAAACAGAGTGAGCCGACAACCTCCGATTTGGGGAATAACATGGAGTTGTTGTGAGCAGTCTCTCTGTTGCTAATTGTCTTCCTGTTGTTAGCCCAGCCCACTTTTACATAATGGTGAGTTTGCTACATAAGGTGGTGAGTGAGCGTGTGAATAAGAATAAATGGCCAAGTAAATAATATAAATTACAGATTCATAGAATCCTACAGGTAAGCGGGCCATGTTAAGGAAATAGATGTATTTGTCAGAAATACCACCTTTTAGTTATGTGGTAAAGTGAAAAATAAATAACATGAAGTAAATATTAAATTTAGAGACTGAAAAAAGAAAGGATTTGAAGTTGAAAAGAATCGGTAACAACAGAAACAGCTACAGTGTACATGTTATGAGGACTGAGAAACAGGGAGTTGGAGAAGATGAGAAGAAAGAATGGAAGTCTAGTACTTTTGGACCAGAGATACGGTACTAGTGGTAATACTTGACAGTTGTATTCCTAAACTACCAACTTGAGGACATTTCTCCATTGAAGATAAAGCCTTTTTTAATGTCACGAGAATGAAAACATGGACTAGGAATTTGATGTAATATAATTCTTATGATTTTTTCAAGTTCCAGAGCTCCTATGCACTGCTTTGTTTAATCCAGTATAATTAAAAGGTTTTATTGTTTGGTGATTTCATTTGCAAGTTTTTTTTTATGGAGGATGATAAGTATTAAATTAGATTTGATTAATTTTATGTATGAATATTTCCACCAGAAATTTGTGGCAATTGTTTTCATTCCAGAAGTACCAGAAACTACTACATTCATATACAGTATATAATGTATCGTTCACTTTTTGTCCTAATGAAGTAAGAAAGTTTTTACCTCTAACGGAGAAATTTCCTCAAGTTGTTTGTTAAGGTGCATATTGTTTGTCAAGTATTACTGTAATAGTTTACTTTTCTTTTGCATTGTACAGTATTTGGAAATTTATGTAATTAACTAAGATTCGTTTGTTTCCTTCTCAAATCGGGGATTATTTAGTTTCCTTGGTCCTAGATCATCCATAATGCCATCGGCTTACCGGTAGACAACTTCAAGTTTTGTTTCCACACACTTAAACAAACCCAGTTAAATGTTTCATTTACTTCTTAAATAACAAAGATAAAAAAATCACTACCCTAACTCGAGGAACAACATGTCCTGTTTTAAAAAATCTCTGCGGTTTTTGAAGGTTTGTACTGTACCTGTTTATGAACCAAGTGTTGAACGATAAGAGGTGAATCAATAAAGTGTCGTAGAACATTGCAGTACCAGCGTTTTGTTCCATGAACATCACTGAACTTTCTGATTTTAGCTAGATTGAACCACCAAAACAAACGGTTGAACTTAACCAAGGTACCGGTACTTAATTTAATTCTGAAGTATTTGGTAAGTTAGGTTTGGCTGGTTAACTGTAGAGTATATAAAAGTGTATGTCTGTGGCCATTTTCGTCAACTTACAGAGGTTACGTTATCTTTGGAGTTTCACGGTGGTGGTAGAGGGGTGTGTGACCTTGTGATGTTGGCCTAGAATAATGAGTTGTAAAGGAACACAACAGTATAGTACTCTACACCTGCTAATGGAGGATTTTTTTATGCTTTACTTCATTTATTATGTGTGATTAATGTGTTTGTTTTAATTAATATAAAAATAAAACATAAATTGGGGATAGTGTGCCTCTTGCAACTGGGGCCAGAACTGTAAGGGTAAAAACTAGAATCTTTACACTACAGCACTAAAGAAGAAATATTGGGAAATATCAGTGTGTCATGGAATGTATAAATTCACTGCAGATCTCATATTTATCAGACGACAGTTAAGAGATATATATTAGGAGGCTAATAAAGCATTTTTGCATTATTTATCATTTATTTTCAGCAAGCTTCTTTTGTCTATGTTCACAGACCATCCTTGTGGTGCTGTAGTGTGGTGTACATTCCCACACCTGCTGAGGAGAGAAACATATACCGTGAAACCTCTATTTAACGGACTATATGGAGAGGAAATTCCATTATATCGAGGGTCTGTTAGATGTGAAACTTCCATTTAATGAACTATAAGAGATGTGAAAGTGCTTGAACTCTCCCCCCATCTGACGGATTTTACGGAGAGAGAAGTCCGTTACATGGGGACTTCACAGTAGTATTAGAGGATTCTTCCACGAGTCAATCACACCCCTAAGATAAACTCGGCTTATGATGGATAAATGGATTAGGAAGATTGGAGGCACTCGGAGGGGAGGGGAGGACTGACAACTGTTCTGGATACCATTCATTTTTATGTGCCGGGTATATATTTATTTATTTACTGTATATGTATAATTGTTTATTTATCATTAAAATTACTGCTTTGAATTTTTCTTAAATATTTTATCTTAAGGGGCTAGTTTATATTTGGAACTCAGGATACTAGATATTTTAGCTCATACTTACACCTTTTCATAGTACAGGGTGTAGCTATAAAGGGTTCAGTTCTTGATAGTGTTCATTAATTTAATATTCCTGAAAGTTTAGTTATTATTATTTTTATTTTTTTTCAGTCATGTCTAGCTTGCAATGGATGATGATGGCCAGAAACAGAGACTGCTTGACGTAATAGGGTGAGTATCCTTGCTAATGCTTTACAGTAGTAAGGTACAGTTTATGAAAGGGATGTACCTAAGCTACCTATGCTTTGACTTTTAAGAGGATATTGTTACCTTCAGAATAATAGGAATCCAGTTTAAGAATGTAAATTCTTTTGGTTTGAGAATAAAATTATGTAGAACTTAAAAAAATTGGTCTTAAATCTATATTTTTTCAAAGATATGGTAAGAGAAGACACGCACTTTGTAAGGAAATGTAGTTTTATTGTCAAGGCACTGTTTGTTATGATTCAGTGGTACATTCATACAACAGTGCTCAGTGGTCTAGTGTTGCTGTAATCTGACAGAGTGTCGAGTCTTTGTTTTCATCTGATAGATCCACAGAGTGACATTAGCAGAAGTGACTAAACTAAACCTGAAGATTCTTGAAAACTAGAAACAAACTGATTTAAGAATTTTTTGTACGGGAATCCTTTTATTTTTTGAGGTAACGATATAGAAAAAAAGAGTCATGGTGTGGTTAGTTTAGGTACCTGTGGACACCCTCTGTTATCATGTCTTCTTAAGTATTATGAGCTCACTACCATTTAATTACTCACCTTTGATAAATATCCTAAATATTATTAAGTCATCCTCAACCCTCCAGTTTTTTTTATTCTAACTGACATACTGTATTGAGGAACTTTTGAGCATATCTTTACCAAAAATATTAAAACTTTATGGTAGACTGAAGCTTTTGTAGTATGTTTTCTGAAAATTTATATCGTTACTGTACAATAATTTGATGAAAGAAGGGGCTTATTATTTTTTATTTATGCTGATGAACTACTTGTACTGTGTTTTAATTCTGGTGGGTTTTTTTTTCCTTACAGAGATCCCCATTTACTTGAAACTTTCCTAGAAAATTTTCCCAGCTCGGTAAGTTTCTTTCTCTGTTTACGAGTAATGATTAGCTTATACATACCAGTAAGGTTATCATATTTATTGTCTTCATCGTTAATAGCTTGAGAAATAACATGCCTACATCGTATAACAGATCATGGGCCGGGCATTACTGTAGTACTTTACCGCACCTCACTGGGAGAAGTGTTTGTTTGGTAAAAAAAAAATTGTACTTCTGTGGAATTGTTATCTCTCAATACTTATACTGTAGCTTGGTGTAGGTATTAAGTATTTCATCAGAAGAACTGGGGAGTGAAGTGCATGTTAGGAAGATTAACTAGCTTATTGTTTTAGTTCAGAAGGGCTTAGGCTATACAAAACAGTACCCCAGTGTAATCATCATCGTCACTGGTTAACAGATGAGAAGGTTTTGTATCTCAGTTTGTTATGGTCAGGTTTCTGTTAACTCTACTACCTGCAGCTGTATGATAGTGAGACAATGTTTGAATGACTCTCCAGCAGTCCTCACTATATCTGTAATAGACTTTTCCTAGAGGTGTTACAGCAACTTTTGGTTCAAAAACTTTAACTACAATACTGTATTGTAAGTTGTTTTAACTACAGTGAATAACTGGATGCAGAAATACATTTTTATCTTATACTGTATAGTAATATATTGTACAGTATAACCATATCTTTTATAAATATATAGTACAGTATTAGTCAATTAAATTCATAGAGATATTAAAACACTTTCATAGCACCGCTAAAACTTTTGTTTGAAAGGTTTGTAAATCTTCCCGTGTAATAAACGATCCTGTAGACTTTGTGTATAAATGTTTTAAAACTTGAGGTCTGAAATTTATCTTTTCATGCTGTGTGCTTCTGTGTAAGGAGTAGTTTTCTTATTTGCCTTTATCTGTTCTTTACACACGTGCTGTATTATATGATTCTGCTTGTTGTTGTGTTTATGTCTGTGTTGACAAGGTAGAGGGAATTATATCACCCATGTATACTGCAACTGTTGGTTCTACTGCAGTGTTAAGTATGGAAGAGTTAGAAAACACTGCAAGTCATCATTTTACACTGATGCTTCTCAGCTCCATAGTTTACAGTCCCCTACCTCTGAGACTGGAGGGGGACTAAGCAGTGTTTAGTGTCTGTGTCTGTCTGTCCCATTAACCTGTTACGTGTTTGTTTGTCTGTCCCTCTAACTGGTCATTTGATTGTCCCACCTACCAGTCACATATTTGTTTGTCTGTCTCTCTAACCAGTCACATGTTTGTATGTTTCTCCTGCCAGTCATGTGTTTGTTTGTTCCTCCCAGTCATTTGTTTGTTTGTTTGTCCTTCACACCCAGTCATTTGTATGTTTGTCTGTCCCTCCATCCAGTCATTTGTTTTTTTGTCTGTCCTTCCTACCAGTCACATGTCTGTCTGTCCGTCTGTCCCTCCAGTCGGCCATTTCTTCGACTGTTCATCCTTTTCTCTGAGACCATTCATGTGTCTGTCCTCGGTTATCTGTTTTTTGCCTAATACTCTTTAACCGCCACAAATCTTTTTCACGAAACTCTGCTCATTTGGGTACACTGATTGGCTTCTTGGAGTTCAGGTCAATGAGTGGGTGAATGCGGGGATGTAGTACCCATAAGGAGTAGTGTATTTACTGACGACGCGTGGCTTGTTGACGTTGTATCTTTACTTGGTGGCCTTTTCATTTTTCCTCATCTGTAATGCATCTTTGTAACCCATTTATTTCATCTCTTCTGTAATGTATTTCTGTATCCCATTTTATTTCTCCTGTAGTCTGTTTTTTTAGCTTTGTATTTTTATCTGTATCCATCAACATTATATAAATATACTGTACCTGTCCTGATTGAGTGACCAATTGACTGGTTCTTGCTTACCTTATTATGAAGGAGTTGTCTTAGAAGAATTTTATGATACTGCAGGTCAAAGTTGGCTGTTCTTTTGTGGTAAATAAGTCAGTGTTTATTTTTTTTTTTTTTTTATTCCTTCATATGTAAAAGGACTTATTAAATGGTAGGTAAAACCTATAGTCCTGTCTTAATAATTAAAGGCAGCCCAACATTTATTTTATTGTGGCTAGATTTACTTCTGGCAAATTAAAATTTATCTGTTGGGGCAACTTAGAAAATTGTAAAAAAAATGTTCTTTTCTGTAATTCTGTCTGGTTCTATGTAATGGATGCACAGGAGCTGTAGTCCACAAAATTAACTGGAATTAACTGAAAAAAATTTACAATCAGTTGACGAATCGGGAAAAAAGTACAGTAATGGCTTTATAAACAGTGCTCACTCAAAACATTCAGGAAGGTGCAAATAACAGCATGGAACATTTTTGAGATAGTATATATGTATATATATACAGGTATATATATATATATATATATATATATATATATATATATATATATATATATATATATATATATATATATATATATATATATATATATATATATATATATATATATATATATATACTGTATATATACTACCAGTAAACATAGAGTCTTACTAATGTTCAAGACTCAAACTGAACAAATACATTTTTCTACATTCTTTTTGCGGGAAATGTCTCACAGTACACGACCATCTCACAGATGTTGTATATACAGGTGTAGACCCTCAAATCCGGGAACCCTTAGGACTAAAGACTGGACTGGTTTTTGAGGATATTTGGTGTCCTGAGTTGACTTCTTCTTGGTGGGTCATCCATATGTTACCCCAAGTCTAACAACGGTTCAGAAGGCTTCGTCAAGTTTGCTTATACGTACACAATTCAGTTCAACATTTATTTTACTTCTTAATTAAGTACTGTATAAAAATTATCCCTGTATGCATACTTTAAATACAAAACAAAAAATTACAAGTTGAGTGTTGCCAAGGTAGGACTCCAAAGCACCAGTGTAAACTTAGCTTAATTGTCTTAGTACAGTACTATACTGATGGTAAATTTTAAGCCATAGTGCAATGCACAGAATCTAATCTATAGTAGGCAGAACTTAATAGGTTTAGCCTTTACGGGTATTTGGTGCAATGTAATTCCCGCCATTTCTAAAAGTGAGTTTGCTGGGTTTGTTTACGTCACAGCGGCTTACCGAGAGTTAAATAGAGTGATATCTTTCTGTTTACTGTATTTGTAATAATAAATATTACAGTAAAGTTATTTGTTGAATTTTTGTAATTAATACTTCCATTAGTCAGATTAAACAACAGATTCAAGGTAACTTATGCCAGATGTACCTTGCTATCACATGCGATCCTATGATGGCACAGTGCTGGTCGATGGTCCTGGTATAGGATTTTGAAGTAAGGTTCGGCTGTTTACTCAAAGGGAATTGTTTACGTCGTAGCATATGCTTCATGAGCCATTTATTCAATCATATAATAATTTGATTGTTTACGAATTCTACTTCTTGCAAAATTATGCAGGTGGTGAGAAGCTGCTGGGATAATTTCTCCTTTATTTTGTGACTTAAAAAGACAGTAAAACCAGTACTGTAGTGAACTGATTGTGTGGAAACAAACCTTAACATAGCCTACTGGTAGTCGTAGGTAGGGCAACAGGTGGATGACACTCACAAGGGAAACATAACTAATCCAGGGAAGAATAAGTACAGTTTTCGAGATTCCTCTTATTTTCTGAGATCGGGATTCGAGGGTCTGTATCTGTAGTGCTGTTTACACATTGTCTGATACCATTATTTGTTGATATATTCTTTTATTTAATCTAAGGCTGTTGTGATGTTAGTATAAGTCATGGATTATACCTGTAATTATCTTGCTTTGTTGTGTTATTTTTTTACGAGAAAGTTCCCTTTGTGTCTGTATTTGATATTCAATAGCCAGTTGACTGCAATGACCAAATGCAAACTTTTCCATAAGTTGCATCTCACTATTTATTTATTTTATTTTTTTTTAACCTTTGTTGTGCAATAATTATTATACCAATTATATTCACAACTTTGATTTGTACTTGTTAAGTTTTTTGCACAGTAGTAATTCTGGTTCATTTGATATTTGTTTGAGATTTTAAATGTCTCATTCATTATATTCTTTTTTTATGTTTTGTGTTAAATTATTTAATGTATCAATTATTTTATGGTGGACAAGCATGTTTTTCCCATTGAACCCATGAGAAAACTTAATCCATAGTACTTTAATACTGACTGATGTTGATTTTGTATTGTATTGTTATTAATCTTACTGCATACTTTCTGTTTGGCGGCAGAGTTTTCCCACTGATGGTGGTCTCCTCTGGCAGGGCTTAGACTCTCCTCGCTTCGACAATGTGACCTCCTCCACGGATTCCGGACTGGTTAGCAGTTGCCTGGACAACCATGTCTTCGATGGCCAGTTCCTCGGTCAAGTACGAGGGGGCAGTCATCCCCTCAACCACCCACAGGTGCCCACACATGTGCTGCAGCAGGTCCTACCCTCACCCACACTCCCCACTGGTCCTCAGGGGGCACCACACCACCAGCATCACCAGCCACATCAACAGCAGCAAGAGCAGCAGCAACCACAGCAGCAACAACAACAGCAACAGCAACAGCAACAACAACTACAACAGCAGCAGCAACAGCAGCAGCAACAACAGCAGCAGCAACAACAGCAGCAGCAACAACAGCAGCAGCAACAACAACAACAACAACAACAACAACAACAACAACAACCACCACCACCACCACCACCACAACCACAGCAGCAACAACAGCTTCACCATCAACAACATTCTCATCAGCAACAGCAAAATGTAGCCCTTCAGCCATCGGGGGCTCCGCTTGGTGTTGGAGCCCCAAACACTAGTGGGGGAGAAGGGAGTCGGGAGAATGACCATCCAACTCTCCAGCAACTACTGGCCTCACCTGCTACATTTCCATCCCAACCAACACCACAGCCTCAAAGCCAACCACAACCTCAGCAACAGCAGAGTGCTGGGACAATAGGACATGGTTTACCTTCAGCAATACTCACTGCATCTCGCCATCCCTCCATACAACAAGCATCACAGACCCAGCAGCAGCTCACACTCCAGCCCTCTCCTCGTACAGTTTCTGTCAGGTCGCAGGCATCGCCGGCGACTAAAGGCAGCCAGGGTGTCCTTCATAGCACCCCTCAACCTACTCCTCAGGTCATATCTCAAACTTCAGCCCAAACTTCCCCACAAATTATGCAAGGTGGTGTCCAGCTTGTTGGGGGATCCAACCAAGTTATAACATCAGGAGGTCAGATCATAACATCAGCTTCACCACAGCTTATACCGGGCACACAGCTCCTGCAGGCACATGGGTCCACCCAAGTGTTACCGACAGGTCAGATACTACCGGGTGGACAAGTGCTACATAATGGGCAGGTGATACAGGGAGGTCAGGTGTTTCATGGGCCACACCTGTTGTCTGGAGGCTCTTTATTACAAGGTGGCCAAGTTATACAAGGAGGCCAGGTATTGCAGGGTGGACAGCTAATTCCAAGTGGACAAGTGATCAACAGTAGTCAGCTGATTACCACTACCACACAGATGGCAACCACTGGTGTATCGGGATTAGGTGCTGGTTCTACACCATTATATGTTACACCAAGTACACCAGTTCAGCAGCAACAACCTCACACTGTCACACTACACCAATCTGTTCAGCAGCCTCCCACCCCTACTGCTTCACCTTTTTCTGTGCTAAGTAAGTCTCCCGGAGCAGCATTACCTCGTACTTCTCCCAGCCCCTCCCCGTATCATCCAACTACACCGTCACCACATCCATCAGTACAGAGTCCTGCCCCATACACGACACGCTCTCCAGCTCCTTCTCCTCATAGCAATGTTAGTGCCATGCGGTCACCTGCTCCACCTACCCCATCACCTGCTGCAACACCAACACCACAAGCACATAGTAGCATTGCCACAATAGGACAGCAACAATCAGCAGGAATGGTGCAAGGAGTGATGAGTAATGTAGGAATGGTGCAGAGCTTGGTGCCTCAGTTACCTTTGTCTCAGGTTGTTGGATCAAATGGCATGGTGCTGCCTCAGCCAGGAGTTCAACAAACCGCGACTGGAGTAAAACAGGTTGTGTCGGGTGGCCAGCTGATTCAGATTGTCTCTTCACCACAACCAACTCAACCTAGGCAACCTGTTGCAACACCCACACCCAAGCCTATTCAACCAAAACAGCCCCAGTTACTTCCCAAGCCTCCACAAGCAGCTGTAGTTGGTCAACCTGCTGCACCACCTCCAGGGAAGACTCTCATGAACACACGTCCTGTAACGCCTGGGGGTCAACAACCCATTGTAATAGGAGCAGCTGGACAACAACAAGCAATGATGGCTGGTCAGCAGGGGCTTGGAGGGTTTGTTATTAATCCTTCCTTATTACAATCAAGCCTACAGCAGCCTTTCCTAATCCAGCAGCCAAATGGTGTACTCTTGGTTAGACCATCAGGGCACACTGGAGCAGGTGGAGCACCTGGTCAGGCTCTCTTGGTTCCCATGCCTGGCCAGCATCAGATGATGAGTGCAGGGGGTAAAACTGGTCAGCATCAGACTGTAGTTTTCTCAGGCAATGGACAGGGAGGACCAGCCTATGTTATCCCACAAAATGGATCTGCAGGTTTAGGTGCTCAAGGGGTGATGGGGACAGCACAGGGTTCGCGTGGGCCTCAACCTATAATTCGATTGGTTGCACCTCAAGCTCCACTTCAGTTACAGCAAATTCAAACCCCAAATGGACCTACCTTTGTAGCCATACCAGCTGGCCAGACAGTAAATCTACAGAGTTTACTAGCAGCTGGAGGTGCCACTATGCGCACATTAGCACCTCAAATGACCTCAGGTCCTTTGCAGCTGGCTCCCTCATCAGTAGCTCCTAATATGGGCCCTGTAGTGAGCATGGGTCACATACAAATGTCAGGGGGTGGGCAGCAGCTTCAGGTGTCTGTCCCAGGAGCACCCCTCCAGCTAGCCTCCTCCCTCCCTTCCTCCCTCCCATCTGTGATAACCACCACTAAGCAAACTGTGATAGATGAAGCTGTGGCTCCAGCCTCCATGGTGACAGCTACTGAGTCTGGAACACACCACCAGACTTTAACAGACTCAAATAAAAATACCAAGAAAAAATCTAAAAAGAAAAAACGGGAAAGAGAACCAAAGGATGAAAAATTGAAAGGTAAAGGGACATCAATAAATCTAAATGATATTTTAAAAGAAACTGGAATTGTGGGTGACTTGATGCTGTTTGACGAAAATGAACTTGGTTTAGGAGGGGAGGGGATGGAAGGGGTGCAGGTGGCAGCACCAACACAGTTAACTCAAGTACCAGCTGCAGCACAGATGGTCTCTCCAGCACCTGCTGCAACCCAATTACCTTCACTCCCCGCACATGACACCAATGCTGGTTTTGCAACGAGTGAAAATGCTGGCCATATTGTGGTTGGTTCTTCACATCAACATCCATTACTGGGGATGGGTAATTCCTTAATGACTGGAACGGTGGTCACTAGCTCAGCACCAACTGGGCTAATGACCTCAGCTAGTATGCCCAGTGGAATGAGCATCACATTGGATCCTAGTTGCAAGTTCTTCTTGGGTTCAGATCCGACTAAACCTCATCTCACAACACCTAATCAAACACCTTCACAGGTAAGACCATAGGATCATTACTATAGCAACCATGAATATACTTAGTTAATAGGATAAATATTACCTGAAACAATGATAACAATAGTATGAAGGTAAAATAATAACATCAGGAATTATTGTATAAGGATCTTTGTTATTTATATACAGTGACATATTTTAATATTTCTATCATCTGATTGATTTTCTAAGCAGTGTTCACAATAGTGCTAAATCTATATTATATGCATTGTGTTCCATAATAATTATTGTGGTGAGTGTTGTAGGGAGAGAGGGTGATAGTGTTGATGACTGTATAAGTAGGCATGTGAATGAGGATAGAGATAATGATGAGAGAGAAGTGAAAAGAAAATGAGAGATTGAAACTTATCTTGTGTAATGGTTGAATGAGAGAGAGAGAGAGAGGGGGGGGAAATTTTAAGGATATTTTAGCATTAGCAAGCCTGTGTGAATGAGCATAAGAGTGAATAAGTAGTGTGTGTGTGTGTGGATGTATACCTGCATTTGTGTGTATGTGTATGTACTCATTTAAATGCATATGGTTGTGGCTGGTTGTAGAAGGTTTAATGAATTACTACATGTTTTAAACTTTGTTTTTAAGATGGGTGGATTGATGATTCCCTCGTGCCAGTCTCAGGTGCAGGTGATCGGAGGAGCAAGTATGGGGATGACAACTTCCTTATGCAATGTGGCCAACAGTGGGAGTATGGTTAATGTGATGAGTAGCAGCATGCCTGCTCTTATGACTGGCAGCTCTGGTGCTGGGGTTGTTGGGACAAATACACTTCCTACTGTGTGTTCCTTACCATCATTCACTCAGCTCTTAACTCCCCCGACGCAAGTTACCTCCAATCTTGTAAATCACGGTCCCAGTGTCACAGGAAAAACAAAACCTCTTCAGTTACAACAGACTGCTTCTAAGTTAACGCAAGTGACGACAAAGAACCTAATGGGGGCGGATATCTCTAAGGTGGCTCAGAACACTCATCTGTTGCAGACTTTGCACCTCCCTACTGCAGAAAAGCCTTGTCCAACACCTAGTGGACAGCCTCTGCTGACATCACTGCTATCAGGGCAGCAGGCATCATGCAGTAACAGTGGGGAGCAACATGGGGGTTTTCCCTTGCAGGTGTCTGTGGCAGATGGAGGACCTGTGCTCACTGTGGTCACTGTGGGAGCAGTCATGAGCTTACCTGAGTGTGTAGTGTCTACTGGTACAACTTTTTCCTCGCCGGCGACTCCTCTTAGCATACTGGTGCCCAGTCAAGCTAGCCAAGTGCCTCAGAGTTCTGCTGTGATTGCATCTTCTAGTGCTACAAACAATGTTGTGTCTGGTGCTATTATAAGCCACAAACAATTTGCTTCCAACTCTGCTCTCATTCCACAAACTAGTGTAACTTATACCAATACAGAAAATGTGCCAGTGTCGCGAGGTCATTCCCAGATTGTTAATGCTTTGCAAGATAATGTTCCTAGTCAAACAAGTAATACAAGTTCATTTGTGGCAAAAAATATTGAAGGCATTAATAAAACAAACAGCTTTCAGAATGAGTATGTGGCTACCCTTCAGAGAGGTCAAAATATTATAGATACCAATAAAAATAAATCAAAATCTAATAAAAAGAAGAAGAAAGATAAAGAAATTGAAACTTTTTCAACGCCCACTACAAGTACAGTAATGGTCAAGCAGAGTTTACAAGAACGATTAAAGTCAAGCACATGCAGCAGTACAACTGGAACCCCACAACAACTGTGTCTGGCACCCATTCCTAATGGACTCAATGGTCCTGCCATAAAAACTGCCTCTCAGAGTGTGGGCAGTTCCACCCCGCCTGGCTCCTTGCCCATTACTCTAGGAGAGAGCGGTGTCCAAACTGATAACACATCCTTAGTGGGGCCTTACATATCTACCGCCCCACCAGTGTCTATCATACCTTCTATAATTACTACTACTACAACGATGGTTCAAGCACCGACTATGGCAACCACTGCCACCATAACCACCACCACCGCATCTTCACCACATACGCCTACAGGAGTTGTATTTCCTGGCCCAAAGCAGCAGTTTAAGCAAGTCAAGCACCTTATTCTTTCACCACAAAACCAGGAGGTAAGCTAAAAAACAATTGTCACCTTTATTTATGTAACAAATGAGTGTGTACAGTACCTCATATTCGTCTTCACTTCCAGATTTACATTTCTTCTATAACTGGTCTCGAGCTCTGATTTATGAAGAAAACCCCCAAAATAATAATAATAATATTTTTTTTTTTTTTTCCTGGGTACAGTAATAATGAAAATATGCTAAAACACTGCCATTATGTTTGATGCCTGTACAGTACACTTAACTTTATCATTATTCTCTAACACACACGCTGGTATTAAGTCTACAAATAGCTTTCATCGTATCATCATTCTCCTACAGTTACTCTATAACTCGCTCCCCAAACTTACTGGGGACAAGTAGGCTCGTCTCCACCACCATAGTCACTCGGCCAGTTGTCTAATTTCTCCTCATTTAATCTTATGTAATATGTGGCAAAATTAAGATAACAGTAAATTATTCAGTCATATACTAATTAATGCATAATGAATGTAAGGGATTGTGATAGTGTCAATAATTGTTGAGGGATTATGATAGCTTTAGATTATGTCACATGAATTATCTTACAGTAATGGTTATGTGTGAGCTCAGTACTCTACACGCAGGGATGAATGTGTTTTGAGATGTATGGAATATGCCGAAGTAAATAAAGTGTACTGGGTGACATATACAAGTTTTTTGTCAGTGAAAGATGGATGTGTTGCATGTAGGTATTTTGTGGGGTAATATTTTGTCATGTTTCAAGGATTCTAACATAAAATGAAGAAAGGTACAGTACTTTATATCCCTTTGGTATATTAAAATAGAAGATCCAGGTGTTATTTTAGCTCAGTACAGTATCTCAGGTTTGGGTAAGCCTCTCTGATAACTAGCAGATAAGGTGAGTGGTTGTAGGGAGGGAGAGTCTTGAGATTACTATCAGTGTGGAACGTGGCCCAGGTGACTGTGTGTGTGAGGCAGGTGTGAGATGTGTAGCCCTGCTCTCTCTCTCTCTCTACATATGGAGGTATATTTCCCCCTTATGGCTAACTCCACAATGTAATTATTATTTTTTTCATCACTGATTGTTAGCCACTCTAGAATGACCTAGTTCTCAGTTATGTTATATAGTTAGTTAGTATATTATAATGAAGCAGAGTATTAAATAAGTATAGTATTAGTAACATACTACGTATATGGGAAATCTTCAATATTCCTCATTCATGTTTACCAATATTTATTATCATGCAAAACAGGACTATAGAATACACTATACATTATATAAACATATAACTGCTAACCACTGTATACAGGAACAGTTGTTAGGAATAAAGTAATTGAGTGAAGCTGTTAATTCCTTTTCAGGCAGAGTAACAGTGTAGAGAATAAGTTGTATTATAATTTAGGATGTGTCTGGGAGCTGGTGGGTAGAGGTGTAAGGATAACTAACCTTTCTGGTCCACTGAAGCCAATTTTCATAAGTTCTCTGAGTGTTGGGGAAGGAGGGAGGGGGGTGTTCCCTTCATGTAGCAACCCCCCCCTCCCAAAATGGTTTCAGTAGACATACAGATTACAAACACCATTTATTTTGCCCGTTGATGGAATAATGTATGTCGAGTATGGTCATGTTAGGATGGCTTTAGTTTAAGTTACATTGGGTTTAGCCGGGTCAGGTTAGGTCGAGTTTGGTTAACTTACGAAATATTTGGCCAAGTCATTTATTTGGGTTGGGTTTCGTTAAATTGTGATGCGTTTGGTCAGGTCATGTTAGGTAAAGTTTGGTCAAGTTTGAGAGGATGATGGGAGTTAATACTGTACATGGAGGGTGAACTTGAGAGTCATGGATGAGAAATAATGTTAGGGAAGACCAAAGGACGTGTTAATGTGCCTTCTGCAGTATAGTATATAGAGTACTGAAAACATATATATTCAGTATATCAACATGACGTGGTAAACATTGAATATTCCTTCTAACTTGTTTACTCTCTGTTTTAGGCTCTCAAGAAAGTTCATTCTCAAATCCAAGTTCTTCAGAATAAGAAGACAGACCAGGATGCAGCCGGCCTCCAGCAACTCTATGCAGAATGCCGAAAAATCGTGGCAACGGGAAAGCACGTGACTGTCACCACCACCCCACAGCAACCTCAAATAGTACGTGTGTTCTGTCTATTGACGGTGTTGATCTGTAATGTGTAGATTGTCCCGTCCCTCGAGGAAGGCTTCGGTGTCCCGTTTAGTCGACTTCACCCTGTTTGTTTTAACTGTCTTTCAGCATCGTATAATTGTCTTCAGGTTATATACCTGCTACTGTAGTTAAACCAAGACATGTAGGTAAAGATGGATACAGCAGTGGCTTAATTTTAACATATTTACCATTATAACTGAAAGGAGTATGACCCAGGGCAATCTGTTAACTTTATTTATGTCGACTTCTTCCACTTCATATTGTCATTCTCAGAGGTTTAGAGTTCAGCTTCTTGAATTCATGTCTGATTGATTTTTCTATCATCACTATCCTCTCAACTTATCCCAGTGTTTTGTATTTCATTAAAGGTCAAGAGGATGTTGTCAGACTAGGCCATCAGTGTGAATGTCTGTCTGTTTACTTTTGTTATCTGATTCCTGCAAACAAAAGATAAATAATCAAAATTCCTGGATGATTCTTACAAAAGGGTTTACTGTATTTATTGTCCTCCACCTAATTACTGTACTGTACTCCCAATTGAACATAACTAATACATAGAACCCATATATTTTCTGAATCCCCCACGGTCCACATCAGTTTGTGGCTGACCCATTTTTACACGAGGACTGGATTACAATTACCAGCGTAGTGATTTGAGATTTATTTTTATTTTTTTTAAGTGAAATATATATATAAGTTTGCGATACTTTCTCATTGTGATGGTGTTACTCCTCAGGCACCTACACCAAGTCAGCCTACTCCTGTACGTTACTCGCATCCAGTGGGACACAAGTTCATCACACTGACTCAGTTCAAGCAGATAAAACATTTACCTCAGGTAACTGTCCTTTACTGTACTGCATATTTACATACTATACTTGAAGATTATTATTTCTATAACTGTATGTATTATATTTGTATTTATTTTTTATTTTTTTATTAAATGGAAAAATAAATATTTTGGATGATAGTCTGGTGCTAGAAGTTACAATGGGTGTAAGAGATGCAATTGTTATTGAAGAAAATATAATTAGTTTAAGTTTACAGATGATGCTGTTTACTGATGAGGGAGGGTGGCAATCATAACCTAACACTACTCATGTGGTGACAATTGTACCATTTGTTTGATTAATGCATAAAGTAAAGGATTTATTGGAGTTACTATACTGAATTCATATGTTACATAATCAGTGAAAATACAAAATATAACTTCGTAATATGAATTCTTTTGGCCATTTTGTGTATCTATGCAGCTAACCACAACATTGTATATTAATATTTTTGTTGCAAACACTAGAAAATATGTTATCATTTGTAAGAATGTTCGTTAAGTGATGTGTCCCCCAAGCTGCCTCCTAGAGAACTATTAAAAAAAAAAGGCTTCATCAACAGTGTTTTCCCTACACCGCCTTAAATAGAGTGACAGACGTATAGGACTCACTTTCACTATCACGTATCATAATTCACAGGACCAACAGAGGCAGATTATGGACCAGAGTAAACAGGTCATGCAGAGATGGAAAGACCCAGGGACCGTATCATCAACAGGTACCTCGACTGTTTCAGCCATCCACACACCAGCCCCTCATCTCTCTCCCAGTCCACAAGTAAGTGTATTCAGTGTTTGTTCCATATCATTGTATTACATTAAACAATATTTAACTCAATCCTAAAGTAAATTTGCAGGACCCAATTAGGCAGTATATGCATAGTGTAACATGATTATACCCAGTTAGTAGTAATTATTGTTGTATCCATCAGTCATTGAAGGTTCCACTCTTAACCTGAGTATTGGCAACTGCAAATGTTTTCAGGCTGTCTGTCAGTTCTCCCCTCTAGTCCTTGTGTTCTTAATTTTAACCATTTATATATCTACCATTATATCCTCATTTAAATTTTTTCCTCTTAATAAACATCAGTCTATCCATAAGACATTTTCCTCAGCTTATGGACATTTATAACCTTTTTTGAACCTCTTTCACTCAAAAATTTTCTCTCATTGTCTCATTTAAAAAAAAAAATGTAAAGCCTGTTATTAACTTGTCTGTTTGCGATATTACAGGTGTCTGTAAGTGGAGGTCCAGCCAAGGGAAGTGTGAGTCCTGTGAGTGGGGCCAGCATGCCTACCATTGCAACCTCAGCCTCATCACCCACTGTGCCCACCACCTCCACCACAGTGTCTAGCTGCTCCACCACAAACACCCTCAACTACTCCACCAAAATGACCCCCCCTCAGTGCTCCCCCGTGTCCTCCACCACCCCCGCCATCAGTCACACTAATACCTTAGGACCGTCGCCCAAGTCGTTGGTGGTGCTCCCCCCACAGGCCTCGCCCCATCCCAGCTCAACGTCAGGAGCTCAGGAACAGTCTCCAGGGCAGACGAAGGCACCTTTGGCATTCAGTATAACCAAGGAACAGTTGTAAGTGTATACTCAGGCACCTTGTTTTTGTTTTCTATTTCCTATATTGTTGTGGTAAATTATTTGGGTTGGGAAACACATAGTTACTTAATTTATGACTAAAACAAACTATTTAGAAGAATTTTCAACAGTTTATTATTTTGTAAGTGTGTAAATAATTTTTACATCAACGTAACAATATCTTTATAGCCTACACCTGTTCCCAAATTTATAGCTCAGCAATGTAAATATACCTGCAAAGTTTCTGTTAGTACAGTATATCAGATGATTCCTTTTGTGGTCAGCACCCTTCACCAGGCAGCTCTTATGATTCTAGGTAACTGGCAGGACCTTGTGTTCTCAGACAGGATAAATATATTAATTCTTTTTGCTATTAACAAAGAACTGAAGGTCTACATGGACCCATAACTTTTCAGTTCAGTACTCATTTGCAATGGCATTTGGCTTTAAACCCGTGTAAGACCAACTCAGCCTGAACAAATCCAAGTGCACTTCAGATACTTTGTTCATAAATGAAATATTGGGATAAAATTTGGTTTCCATAACTTTGGAATTTTGTAAACCAAATCTTGGTAAATTGAAGACCGCCAGTACTTCTCCCATTTCCGTTCTCTTTATTTTTATTTGTTACTTATTTCCTCTTTCATTCATAACTTATTTATATTTATCCTCTTGGTCTTATATTCCCAGTTAGTACCTATTAATGAGACAACTTGGCTGTGAATGTAATCTGAAAAATCTTCACCCCTTATATTGCATTTATTATGATTAATGGTAATGTTTCTTCTGACAGGTTTGAACATCAGCTCAAGACTGACCAGAATGGTGCTTTAAATCCAGATTATCGCAATCCATTCAAAAATAAAATTGATGCATGTAAACGGCTGATACGTTACCATGTGTTCAGTGAATGTGTCCCCAGTCCTCATGAAGTGGCAGAAACAACCACACAGTTTGAGTTACAGGCAGAATCCCTACTGAAGAAGTTTAATAATATGAAATACAAGTATCAGTCACTCTTGATAAAGGATAGCATGGTAAGTTCTTGTTAATGTTTCTTATTTATTATGTATGAAAGCACTTCTTCAACCCAGACATGAAATTACAATACTAATCATTCTTTCACCAGTGTCCCAACATTAATATTTGTCTTGTAATATTAATATCCATATACAGTGATATCTCCATTAGTCGGAACAGTTGGTGAAGAGCACTTCCAGGAGTGAGAGATTTCCGGGTAATGAGACACCTCTCTCAAAGCCAAAAAAAATCCTTCATTCCCGGGAACATTTTCTCGGATTTTTCCAGAAAATATGCTCCTAGGAAAATTGTTCCCAAAGCCGTAATTTTCCGGCTTTGGGAACAATGTTCCAAGAAAATTTCAATTCCGGCTATCGGAGAATTCCCGTTAAGAGGATTCCGGCTAACAGATATATTACTACTGTATTTACCAACGTCGTGTAGATATATTTCTCGGCATATACTGTACTGTCCCAAGGTAAATATCTGTCATAGGTTATTAATATCTTATATCAACAGTCCAGATAACCCCACACTTTATACTTTTGTTTTTGAAACGTAATGAGCAGAATTGACTCTAGTGGTTAGGTAAGATGATAAGAAAAGACGAATTGAAGTAATGTTGAATTAAAAGAAACTGGATGATGATCTGGCTTTGAGTGGAAAAAAGTAGAAAGTAATTATTTTGTTGTATATGAAAAATCTTGCTAGGGAATGTAACAAGCATTATAGAGTTTTGGAATGTAGGTCTTATGAACTGTGCAATTAAACTTCTCCCTCATAGAAAATTTTTATGTTAAGTGCACATTGAATTTATTACATTGTTGTATTTTTCACATTTGATTTTTCCCTAAAGGTGATTCATATGATGGCATTGTGACTTTACATTTCAGCGTCGTCATGCATCGTCGGAAACAGTGATGCTCTACCGGTTACTTGTGCAAGAAGATAAGACTAACATTGAGAGGGAGAAAGCTGATGTTCAGAGTGGAAAGAGTAAGTAACAGTAACCCTCAAAGAGTCCTTTAAAATTGTGTATCAGGGTCACGGTAATGGATGGAAACTTTTACTGTATTATAAAAGTTCTCTGTGCATTCCACTTAAAAAAATACCAATAGGAATTAAATTAGTTTAAATAGTGTGGGGCTTATTTACAATCATGATTTCCTCTTAATGTAAATCTTTAAGTTTCTTTCAAATATTTACATAAAAACTTCCACTAAACTTCCTTCTTCATCTCATTTATTGTAGCTGATTTGCATTTCAAGTGTATCATTCGCACGTCACTTTTAATGCATCGCATGATTCCGTGTTGTATATGATTTGTCTGCAATCAGTTGTCTGAGTTAGACTACATTCACAATCAACATTCATCATCAGAGGAGTAATATTTACATGCAGAAAAATCTCAAAGCCTCAGAGCAAAGTTGTCAAAACAGTTTCTGCACATATCAGCCATCATGGATTTGACAAGATAAGGGAAAGATGTGCTTCCCCAGTGTTTATATTCTACGTTTGCGAGTTTACCCTAACTGTCATTAATGTGGATTTTGCCTAACATAAATTGCAAGAGAGCGTTAAAACCAAATTAACGTTTATGTGGATTATCTTATGCTTATAAATTGGGGGATACCTGTATGCATGTGATTGCTTAATGTACAAGAGATGTGGTAGTGTCACTGCTAGGCTTAGAAGTAATTAATTAGATTTGGGTAGTAGACTGGTTGCTGTTCTGATTACATTAATCTGGCCAGCCTTTCAAGGGTGATCATTATCTTGCTGTAATCAAACTCTAATATAATAGTATTTTGGGGGGCTAAAAGAAATTGTAATATAATGTTAATAGGAACATATTTCAGACATTTTAAAGGGATATTTCTATTTTTCAGTAATAGATTTGCCAACGGTCCCACCTTGTCGAGCCTCTGAAGAGTCCTCACCTCTAGATACACCTTATCCTTGGGAGCTGGAGTGGGAAAACCAAAAAATCTACAAATTTGAACCATGGAAGAACAAAGAGGAGGAGGGGGAGGAGGAAGAAGGGGAGGAGGATGAAGAGGAGGAAGGGGTGGAAGAAGAGGAGGAGGAACAGCAGAAGGAGGAGGAGGCCATAGTGAAAGAAGAAATGAAGGACAACATTAAAGACATTAAGTTGGTGATAGGAGATAAAGTGGATGTAAAACTGAAGGAGGAAGAGGAAGTAGTGGTAAAGGAAGAAGGGAACCAGGAAATAAAGAGAGAAAGAAGAGAAGATAAAGGCGAGGAAACCCAAGGGAAGGCAGAGAAGGAAGAGAGCAGCAAAAACCCTACAAAACCTGACGAAGATGACGAGTTCGACGACGGCCAGGAAGGGGATCCATGCCTCCATATATTTGTGGAAGACGAGGAGGAGGAAGAGGAAGAAGAAAAAGTAAAGGAGGAAGAGGAGAAGAAGCACCACATGTCACCGGCTGCGAAACTCGACTGCGATGACGCCAAGAGCAACTCGGACGACCGGGATAGCAGCAAGAAGGAATCGGAACAGGAGGAGGAGTTAGTTATTTGTGATAGTGAAGTTGTGTCGACCAGTATACAAAATAGTCCGGTAAATAAAGAAGAGACAACTGTGCTAAATTATTCTAGTGAATCCCCATGGACGACAAGTTGTGGAGAGAGCTTATTAAATAGGCTTTCTAATCGGTCCCAATCACCCGATATCCGTAGAACTCCTTGTAGTATTTCCAAACCAATTATATCATCCAATTTTGAAACCAGTGGTAATAACTCGTACAAACAGATACACTCTCCTTCTTTGAAACTAGTGACTGATAGGACAGACAAAGACAAAAGGAAGGAAAGAGTTGAACGAGAATATAAGAAAAAATCAGTTAGGGGTAAAGATAAAGATAAAGAAAGAGGAAGAGATAGAGAAAAGGAAGATAGACCACCTAAAAAGCTGAAAATCAAATTAAAGTCGGAGGAAAGGGCTTTAGTGCCCCCTCTGCGCATCAGAACTGAGGATAGAGGTAGTGGGCTTAAGTTAACCCTCAAGAAACAAGAGGGTTCTGGGGCATATTATAGTGTCGGGGAGGAGAGAAAGCGCGAGTACAGGGTGGAACAAAATGAGGACGAGGAAGAAGACGAAGAGGCAGATGATATTGTTGGTCGACTCTGTGATGGGGAAGAGGAGGAGGAGGAGGACGGTGATGGAAAGGAACATGACCTAAAGGAAGTGAAAGTGGTTCTACAGGACGTATGCAAAGACGAAAGGTTTAAAAAACAAATTGAGGAACGAAGTAGTAAAAAGAGAAGAAGAGACAAAGGTGATGATAGAAGTGATAGAAATGAAAAAGGTGATAGATACAATTCCCATTGGTCAAATTATTCCCAACAGCTTCATCAGAGTGAAGGAGATAAAAATTTTTCCCAGTCTTCAAACCACGAGAATAGGACTTGGAACTGTAACAGTGGTATGGAGTGGCGGAGAAGTGGCGGTGAAGGTGCTTCCAGTGTAGATAACTCTAGCGAACGCAGAACAAGAGAATATAGTCCCCGTTTATACTCTTACAATGACCATTATGGACACGAGTATTCCAGCCGGCATAATCACTCTCAGCCATACGGGCATTCTGGTAGTCAATCGAGAAACTCGCATAGTTATTATTGATATTAAACTAAAAAAAAACCACTGTTTGAAATAGAAATTTATATTCTGATTTAAGAGACTTCAGCATAATAATTGTTGTGTTATGTTCTTCGCTGTATTTCCATATAGCACAAATACTCATGTTTTTAGTTCACAAAATTAGGTTTTATGTGGATAAGCTTCTATGACATGTCAAGTTTTAACAAGGTATTGATGGCTGTTACAACATATCTAGCTATTGCAGTATCGTTTAGTTTTTTTATCAGTTTCTTCAATTGCAACAAATTCCAGTGCGATTTTTTTATTTAATTTATATAAGTCATTGTCCTTTTAGCCCCTTTGTGTTGAATCTAGTCTTTGCCCATCTACCCTTCTGGACTGTAAATAGCCAGGTTATAATTGCTCAGTAGAGTGACTAGTTGTGAGCCCTTTGTTGGTGACACAAGTTTCATGGTTACTATATACAACATTAATGAAGTGAGCCTTAGTGGAAGGATAACTGAGGTTCACGGTGACTACGCAAGTCACAGTAACAGAGGTAGGAACTTGGTCGTCTTGGAGGCATCTTAATTTGGGAAATGTGGTTAGTATTTTCCCATTGTGATTGTCGAATTCGGCAGAAGACTTTTTTAATACTTAAAAGCCCTGTGGTGTACCTATGTTTCAGTAGGTGTAAATGTTTTATAGGATCCTATTATAGTAATTTAAAATGACATTTAAGATTGTGGTTAATGACCTTAATAAGGACACTGTCATTCTCAAAACATGTGATCTCAAGTGTGATTTTTTACAACTTATCTCATTTTGTACTGTTGCAGTGGTATGAAGTAAGTCTGGTCTGTGTGTATATTTTTGCCATGTACTTATTACTCTTGTCCCATAGGTTGTTGACATTTTCAGGGAGTTTATCAGCCTAGATACTGATATACTGTAACAATAAAAGAATCCAGGCTGACTTGCTATCTACAAAACAGTACTTCATCTGCAGTGTGTATATGCAAAAGCCACTATACTATTTTATGCTTTTGCGATTTGTATCATGCATAATTCTTGACTAATTGTCCCTCTGCTCCAGTATATATATTTGAAAATGTAGACTACTGTGAACAATCAATATAAATCTTCACATGAAGTAAATTTGGTGCAACTCTGATGTACTGTAGGAAGTTATGTTTGTTTTCTTTGGGATGCAGTGGAGTACTGTACTGCTTTTCTGTCTGTTCATGAACCTAAAACAGTGTACACAAAATTACTGTCACAAATATTTTGCCATTTACACAAGAACACAAAAGGGGCACATCAGTTTCTGGTTTAAAATTATTTAATTTAACTTATTGGAGGTAGTAGATCTGTTGACTTAATCCTTCATGAAAGAGGAGGAGGAGGAGGAGGAATTGGGCGTCAGAAGGAAGTGTGTCTTGTAACCTTCTTATTCTGTTACATTAATAGTTCAGCTCCTCTAAATCGTAGACCACACATCTTGAGGTCGACACAGTCTTATAAATGTTTAGTCTTTTATCAGTTTTATCTTATATATTTTACATCATCTGCCTCATTCTTTTTATTATTTTATTGAGATAGAAATGATGCAGTAGCTTTATTTATTTTACTCTCAAATTAAAAGTAGAATCTTTTTTGCAAATATTAGTCTTCTCTAGGGTGCTGGAGAAATATGTATCGTAAAATTGTACGAAGAGAGTTTAGTGCAGTATCACTAAACTCTGAATTCCGAAAGCAAAACTTGTCATTGCTATTAACTTACCATTGATATTAGTTTGTTGATTATATTCTATCTGTTTACCTGTTTCAACCTTACTCCATTGTGAAGTGACAAGATGAAGGAGGTATACAAGCAACAGTAAAAGTAAGTAACAATTAACTCTTGGTTAGTGAAACATCAACTCAACAATTCCGAATAATGTTAGTACTTCATAACTTCTCTTTCCTTACCACATTGAATGCTTTTACTTGGCTTCTGTGTTATATCAGTTTTCTGGCTTACTCCCAATAAGATAATCCTTAATTGTGGTCATACTTGAGCCATCTAATGCTTGGTCTACTTTTCCCCTAATACCTTTAACCCCAGTAAAGACACAGCTCCCTTTCTCCATGCTCTATCATTTATATGTTCCTAAATTCCCTATTTGTCTGTTCCACATCATCTCCATATGTTTTCATCTATATGCATTTCTAATTTTTATTCATCTCACACATATTACTTTTATCTTTTTCTCCTCTGTTGTTTTGTAAGATTGATCTACTTAATGACGATGCTTTTATTAAGCTCCCATGAATTTTCTGCATTTCATTGTTATTGTAGTTTTTGTTCATGAACTTCTGGGATAGAGTTGTACTGTATTTGGTTATGGGAGTGAGGCAGATTACTAGGTTGATGGGATGACTTGATAACTGTTTCTTGGAAGGGAGGGGTAATCATTTGTCCTTGCCCTGACTGAACTGATCTGCTATGTAAAGTCTCCTGTCACTTTTCTCTGGTCTGTTAATTGGCATCTTGAAATCTCCGTATCTCTAACTCGAATCTTGGCAGTATTAATTCCTTATGTCTTATTTACATTTGCAAAGCACATCATCGGGTGGCAATAAGTGTGTGTAACAGTACCTGCAGTGCATGTTCCAAAATAGTACAGTATCATAATTCCTGCTTCATGTCTCCCTACACCATGCAGGTATGTGTGAAACCATCTTTTATATCAGTTTAATCCAGCTGGCAGAAATTTTTGTTAACAATCATACCCTCAGCTGTGTTTATGCTTAGGTATATGCATATGGAAACCCATACTTATTGCACATTGGGGGCAAAAGGTTTATATTATTAATCCATTGAGTCCTTGGTAGTGGAGCTATATAACCCTGTGATATATGCAGGTGCTCATTGTAACAAAATATTGAATAATATATTGCTTTTACTGTGGCTCAGTCAGTAGCATTTAGGAATATGCTAACTTACCATTACATATATCATAAAACTATTTTATCAGTACATTAAATTGTGTATGGGCATCATTTGTGGATGAAGCTTTCGTCAACGGTGAGATGTAAAATGTGCAGTGTTTCGCACCACAACACCGGTCAGAAATCTTTTTATTAAACAAAATAGTGAAAAGAGCAGAACATCATCTTGTGTATATGTTAATACAGATCTGAGGAACCATGTAAAGAATCTCCACATCAAATTTAAAGTCGGTCAGACAAGTTTAGAATATAATGGTAGGAAACACTATGCCTGTCTCTCACTCTGCTGATGGCAGTTGACAATACAGTACAGTACCTGTAAATTGAAATGTTATTTATTGACACTGATGAACTTACACTTTGAGTGAAGAGTTATTTCATATTTAAAGGAATTATTCCAGAAATTGACATTAAAATTGCAGTACACTTTATCATGTACATAATTCACTGGAATTAACTTATTTTATAATTGTATTTCAAACACAATGGAGACCATTAAACTTTTTTATGATGAAGGTATCAGACTAGGTCATCATTTCTCATTTATTGTTATCTGTGAACCAATGACTTTATTAAATACTCGTATATTATTTGACAATGAATTACATATCCTTAATTCATATCAGTATAGTTTTTATATATCAGGACTTTTTTCTGACAAGTTGAAGTAGAGTACTGTAACCTGTAATTGCCTCTAAAAGGTGGGTTTTACACTTACATGCACAGGACCTGTTGGTTTGTTTAGGATGACAGCTTTATCATTTAGACATCATCATAGTGAGAGACAAGCTGATGTGCTAGAGTATGGGTTCATATTCTAAGACATGGTTACAGAGATGGTCTCAACTACTGTACAGTATTTTAAAAGCTGGATATTTAAAAAAAAATTATGTTCATCTCTTAAAATCTGAAAATTGATTTCTTTCAAGTGCAGGTTATTGTCTTTTAATTATTTATTATTGCTCTCTGTTCTTATTAAACAGAATAGTTACTGTATAAAGACTGACCTAAGTTGTCATCTGGCAAAGCATATTTATAATGTTAGCTAATTTTTGCAAGTTGATTGGGTTAGTTGTGTTACACCTTTATAATTCAATAGTCAACCATGGATACTGTTGTATATTGACAAGTAAATTTTATATAAAGTGAAGCAAGTATTATTCTGGAAGATGCATGTACACTTCATTTTGGTCGAGTAAAATATTTCCAGCTCAGGTGCTGTTTCTATGAAGACTTGTCTTCATAAACTACGGTCATGGCATATCAACACCACACCTGTCACATGCAAATTCCTTGACTTTGTTTCTTCACCAAATTTTGTGCTTTCACATTCCTTCTCCAGCAGTTAAAAAAAATAAGTTGAGTCTGAATAATTCTCTCTTGCATCCCCAAACTGTGGCAACTCAGTGTTTATTAACAATTGCAAACTTGATCAATATATCTGCATAAAAGTTACATTTGTTATGTTTGAGGCTTAGTGGAAATAAGGGATGGGCAAAAGTGTCAATCAAATTCACAAGTTTTGAAATTGTAAAGCTGAAATTTCTTTGAAGACAATTAATATGTACACTTGATGATGATGATCTTACATAGACTGAATAACAAACCTGAGGGTTTAAATGCATATTTCATCACAAAAAATTCTGCTTACCTGATTTACATTCAAAATAGTTGATACTCTGCATGTTGATGTGCATTTGTTAAGACTGAACAAACTCCTGGTTGTGGCATTACAAATTGGTTTCTTGGTTTACAGCTTTGGTATGTTTATGCTGGTTCATAAGTGTTACACCATTTTTTTCTCTCTTTTTATCCCAGTGAAATAAGTACAGTAGTGTGGTGGGTTGTCAAGGAATACGTGAAATATTAACGCCATTGACATTTCAATATTTTCCATTATGATTTTTAAACAACAAAGGCTTTTTATATAAAGGTGTTATTATCTAACATTTAAGTCATAAAAATGGATATTTATATTGCTCCCTTATTATAGTTATAGTGCTCCCTTATTGCCAGGTAAACAGTACTGTACTCCACTGCATAAAGAGCTTTATGGAAAACTTTCAGTAGCCTGCAAATATGGTTACAAATAATTTCATTGAGGAAGAAGTGGTTTGTATGCCTTTGGAGTTCTTTCTTCAAACTTCCTAGCTTTTTATTCATCACCAACAAATAGATTTCTTGGCAGCTACATATTATTAAGCCTCTACCAGTTCTTCCATGTGTGAGGAAGGTTGAGAACACAGTACAGGCAACAATATTTTCTTGTTGGTTTAATGTGGTCAGTTCCAGAATTTTTGGAGGTCTTTGCTACTTCCTTTGAGAGTACAACTAGTTTATGTCAAGACTCCAACCCTGGCATATAGCTGCTTTGACCTAGGTAGCTTTGATACTGCAAATACAACAGAGAATTGTAAGGTTTCATTTTAAAATGCAGTACATACAAGTTTTCCTTTATTATGTATTAGTAGTGTCCCTTCCAGACAAGCAATCTTAAACACCTTGAACCAGTAATGCCAAGAAAAATATTCCACATTGATTGTTGTCTTCAAATATTCAACTATTGGTGAATTACAGTATATTTGATTTTCAGTCTCTGCTTGTAGCCTTTATTTTGTCAGTTTTCCCCAGATTTCAGGCCTATATGAGAATCAGAAATACACTTACATTAATGAAAGCAAATGTGTCGTTGCAATCAGCATGGAAGTCATTGAATACATAGTGTACTGTATCATGCAATCTGTTTAGTTTTGTAATTTAATTTCCTTCAACTTGATTGCTTATTGAATTTAAAACAAACAGTATTAGCACTTGATCACTATTTATGAATATGCTTATTTGTTTTTAGTTTGCCTTTTTTCAATATTATGCAAGGCTAATACAAGTGTAATGCATATAGCTGAGTGACTTGTATGTCCCAGTGATACTGTACTGTAGATTGTTCATGCACGGATGCTAAGCAATATGTAAATTTTTATATTACTTTAGAATTTGCTGAACAAATATAAGACTGCTTCTGGAAAATTTTTAAAGGCCTTGCGAGTGAATATATATATATACAATATATAATTTTTTTTTTTTTTTTTTTTTTTTTTAAGCTCAGACCTTCCAAACACTGAAGTAGACAGGCATGGTATACACTGTGCTGGTATGTTCTCTGTGCTTCATTGTCAGGTCATAGTTCTAAGGGCATAACTTTGGTGCTTTTTTGGATATCAGTAAATACTAAAGATGATTAGCCCGATTGTAAAGTCTTCAGAAATTGTACCTGGTGAGAAAGGGTTTGATGTGTTTTTGAAGGGTAAAGAAGCTTATTTTTGACATATAGCAGCTAGTCTTGGTTTTATTGCTTGTAGGTATTTTATATTTCTTAAATAGACTAAATTGATTAAATTTTAATCAAAAAAATAATAGCCCTCCAAGCATAATGGGACCTATTGACCCATGGGCTGTAAGGCCTGGACTGTAATTTGTTTTGTCAACCTTCACAAAGAGATGAAGCAACAATCCAACCGTGCCATACTGAGACCATCACACCCCTCTGATGCATCTTTGTTGCTCTTAGGCCAGTTTTCCCAGTTGGTAAAAAAATGGGTTTGTTTTTGAGTTCTAGCATGCTAGGAGAGTAGCCCATATTGCAAGTTGTAAGGATATTGAACTTAAAGTTCCAAGAGGTGGTTTCACCGGTATTTATAGGGACAGTATTCAGTGCCTTTTTTGACTAAAAATATAAAATTATCTTCTCTGTCATGGTAAAGATTTACTCTATAATTAATTTTAGTAATCTTAATAAATTATGGGTTACTTTTCTAAGCTCCCATTGGCTGTGGGTACTAGACCTTTGCATGAGATGCATATGTAAATGGAATGTATTCATAAGTCTGAGGGGGATTTCTTCATTTTAGGCAAACATGACAAATAAAGAAAGATATTTTGAGTAAGTTATTTTTTATACCTCATGAAGTTGTTGAAGTTCAAATGCCTTTTTTTATAATTTGTTTAATTTTTATTTATATTTGTTTATCTTTTGTTGGAAGGGACCTATGTTTGTCTCTCAGGGTCCATGAAGTATGGTAAACTCACAGTTATGTGATGACTAAATGTATCTTTTAATAATAAAAATATGAATTAAAGTCATGTGTTTAATTTTTGTTTAGCTTAAATATTAGTTGTAATTAATGAGGCAATGTTCTCCCATTCTTGATAAACAGATGTGGTCTTGATCTACAACAAATAAGAAAACGTTCATCCAAGACAAAATCATCTCGAAGTTTCTGTTGATTGTCAGTCTCCACGTGATGTACGCCATCAGCAGTATGTCATCAAAATGTCAATATCTTATCCCAAATCAATCAAGGGTTCTGTCGTGCTTGGACTACCACCCACAACCGTAAACAAGAGAATTGAATGGTGTGTACAGAGGTAACGGGCAAAACTCGCCACTCGTGGGTTCAAGTTTTAATCTCTGCTGCATGTGGGAGGGGTGTTACCCTGTGTTCCCCTACCAAATATGGCAGAACAGACCTAGAGGTACACCTGTTGCCAAGAAATAATATAGGATATTGACATTGCAACAAAAAGTGGACATTATTAAGCAAGTGGAGAAGGAAGATGGCAATTTTGGAGGGGGGGGGGGGTCAGTCAAAAGGCAATTGGAGTGATTCTCAAAGTAAAAAATTTCAAATCTATGAAGGGGCCTGTTCCAATGCATTCTACTGTAATAAGTAAACAGAAGTCCTGCACTTGTGGAGATGGAAAAGTTATTCATCCTGTTGATCAACAAGTACCCCCCCCCTGCACTACAAGTCTCCTTCCTCGACACTATCCTCCATTGACCACAGCCACAACAGGTAAATAATTAACAACTTTTGATTATGCCCTACACCTACCTGTACTGGAGTTAATTTTTACTTGAACTTTGCACATATATTTAGAAAATTTCCAAGTCCTTATGTGCATATATCAGAAAAAAGTGAAAGTAAAAGATACTACTGGTCCATGATTCAATTGTGGGGTAATTTGGGGCTGTAATGACACTTGGAATATTTTAATTACACTTTCAATCCTAATTACTCGCTAACTATGGTTTTCTGAAGTGCCATTTTGGTGTTTTTATGTTATTCTGGAAGTATTTAATTAGTTAAACCCTTTAAATTCCAATTCCAAGAAAAAAGTATATTTTGGTCAAAAAATTACTAAGACATTATAAGAGGGATGGGAGAAACTTTGAGGTCGGGGCAGTTTCGTGGATATGGGAAGCAAACCGTGTGTAATTATAACTTTAGGGGCACCCTGAGACCTACAGCTTCCCCATCCCTGGTAGACTTTTTTATTTTTTTTTAATTATGCCAAAAGTGCAGAAGAGTCGGTAATGAATTAGTAAAGTTGAACATTTGCAAACAGAATCTATTACACCAAACTATAGTACTGTAGTGTACTGTATGTGGCCAGTTGTCCATTCTCTAATGTTGTCTATTGTCTCTTTGTATGGGCACACAAATGTTCGTACATGTAGATATCTCACTCAGGAATGAGGTAGAATAGAAACTCACAATGTGTTTTCTGTATATATATTGTCGTACAGTGCAGTGCTAAGGAGTTACTAGGTGAGGAGTAGCTTGCTCAGAGATCCTGTAGGGCGAGGACCTTTCTGAGGGAGCTGGGTGGTGAGGCGCTGGAGAGAGATCTTGCTGGTCCAGTAGGTCAGAGTAGAATGGTCTCCCTGGCCAGCCATGGCCGTATTTATACAATTCAGAAACATCAGGTTTTGGGGTGTGCGTAGCGTGAGAGCCAATCACAGAGGAGGAAGCCAGGAATCCCTGGCACTCTGGTCCTAGCATTGCTACGCTTGCGTCTGCACTGGAAAGTAGGTCTACCAGCATCGCTGGCTGTACACTGATTGGCTGGTAGGCGCGCGGGAGCTCAGTCGTCACTTGTAGGGGATGGGGTCCACTACAATACTCCCCTTCCCCTCAGGGCGCGGCTGGAGGTTGGCAGGGTTGCGTCCCACAAGTGATACATACCGGGCAGGTGTACGTACGACTCGGCCACTGCGGGTGACGACTCCGTCTAGTGACACAAAACCTGTGGGAGGAGGGGGGTTTTGGATTAGAGGAGGTTGTACAGGCAATGGTGGTTGTGCTCCTGTCGCGGCAGGGGCAGTGTTACTGGCTGGGTAGACTGGGTTAGGGGCAGGGGCCATAACAGCAACAGGGTCCACGACAACAGCAGGGTGCAGGACAGGAGCAGGGGGTACCTGAGGGTGGAAAGAGGGTGTCCAGAAATGTTGTGGGCTTGGTTGACTGGGTCAGGGCAGGGACCACATCAGGAGGAGGGTCCATGACAGCAACAGGGTCCATGACGGCAGCAGGGTCCACGTTAGGAGGAGGGTCCATGACAGCAACAGGGTCTACGTCAGGAAAAGGGTCCACGACAGGAGCAATAGGTACCTGATGGGTGGAAAGAGGGTGCCCAGAAGTGTCGTGGGCTGGGTGTTGTTGCAGGTGGTAACTGCAGGTAGACAGGTGCAGGCGTAGTTCATGGGGGTGCTGCTGGGCTGGGGACCCAACGGGTAAGGTGGCCGGTTTGACTCGGTCTATGCTGATGGTGTCGTGTCTGTTTTTCTGGATAATCGTCAGGAACTTCGCTGAACGGGTCACAACCTGGAAGGGTCCATCGTAGGGGCGTTGTAGTGGGTTGCGGTGAGCATCATGCCTGACGAAAACATACTCGGCAGTGAGTAGTGCAGGAGGGATGTGTTCAGGGCGCCGAGGAGGCTGGCGCGGAGCAGTAGCTCTGAATGCAGAAACTGCTTGTCGTAGCTTTTGGAACAAGTCGTGACGGACGGCAGGAGTGGGTTGGTGGAGGTCAGGAGGGAGTGAGAAATCGCCGGGTAGGCGAAGGGGCTTGCATAGTGTGATATCTGCTGGGCTACAGTCCATGTCCTTCTTGTGTGATGCAGCGCATCCGTCCATCTGTAATGGTCATGCTGTTCCTTGAGTGCGTCCTTCAGCTGCCGGTGAAACCACTCTACCATGCCGTTGGATTGAGGGTGGTATGCGGTAGTGCGTTGCCTACAAGTACTGAGGAACTGTAGGAGGTTCTGCCAGAGTTGTGACTCAAACTGGGCTCCTCGGTCAGTGATGACGGTTGCAAGGGGGCTGAAACAGGAAACCCAACCAGACATGAAGGCGCGGACGGCAGACTCTGCTGTAGCACTGGGCATGGGTATGGCTTCTGTCCACTTGGTGAAACGGTCGATGCAGGTGAAGATGTAGGTGCTACCATAAGATGATGGAAGAGGTCCCACTATGTCGAGGTGCACTACTTGAAAACGTCCTTTGGGTATAGGGACGGTTTGTAAGGGGGCCCGTATGTGACGATGTATTTTGGAGGACTGGCAGGCCAGGCACTGGGCAGCCCATTTCTTAGTATCGGACTTGATGCCGGGCCAGACGACACGTTGCCTTTGAGGAGGCGCTGGGAGGCCCGCACACCCGGGTGGCTGAGCCCATGGATGTGGTTGAAAACAGCGCGGCGGTGGGCATGAGGCACGAACGGTCTAGGCTGCCCACAGGATACGTCGCACCACAATTTGATGTTCGTGCCGGGAACAGGGAGTTCTTGGAGTGTGAGGCCTGAGGGGGATGTCTTGTATGCTGCCAGGTCTTCGTCGTTCTCTTGAGCCGTGGCGAGCTGCCCATAATCAATGGGTGGAGATGAGGGAAGAATGTTGGATATACAACGAGAGAGGGCGTCGGCGATCTCATTGTGGCTGCCTTTAATGTGTTGGACGTCGCTGGAGAACTCCCAGATGGAAGCCAAGTGGTGCAGGACACGAGGTGTCTGTGACTGGGATGCTGAAACAAAGGCGTGGACGAGGGGCTTGTGATCAGTGAAGATGGTGAACTGACGGGCCTCGAGGAAATGCTGGAAATGTTTGACAGCCAGGTATATGGCCAGGAGTTCTCGATCAAAGGCGCTGTACTTGAGGTGTGGTGGTTGAAGCCGTTGTGAGAAGAATGCAACGGGCATGAGAATTCCGTTGATCTCCTGCTGTAAGACGGCGCCCACTGCAGTAGAAGAAGCGTCTGTTGTGAGGGTGGTCCGGGCGTTAGGTGCGGGGTGGGCCACGAGGGTGAGGCGTGTGATGTTCTGTTTGATAGTGGTGAATGCCGTAACAGCCTCTTGAGTCCACACGAGAGGCTTGTGAGACTTCTTTGGGAGTCCCTTGAGAAGGTCGTAGAGGGGGCCTAGGACGGTGGCAGCGTTGGCAATGAAACGGTGGTAGTAGTTGACTAAACCCAGGAATTCTCGGAGTTTCTTCGCCGTTTCAGGTTTGGGGAACTCACTAGTGGCAGTTATCTTCTGTGGTAGGGGTTGGATGCCACTAGACGAGACTCTGTGACCGAGAAAGTCGATGGAGGAGGCTCCAAAGACGCACTTAGCAGGATGAACTTTCCCGTTGTTGTTCTGCAGGCGTTGGAGAAGGAGTTGTAGGTGGTGGCGGTGCTCGGCAGGCGTCGAAGATGCAACGAGGATGTCGTCAATGTAGGCAGTGACAAAATCGAGGTAGCGAAGCATATGGTCCATGTACCTCTGGAAAGTCTGTGCTCCATTGCGTAGGCCAAAACTCATGAAAGTATACTCGAAGAGTCCGAACACTCCGGTGATGGCTGTCTTCTGGGTATCTGCAGGTGCTACTGGGATCTGGTGGAAGGCACGCTCCAAGTCGATCTTCGAGAAGATGGTCTTGCCATGAAGTTTGTGGTGGAAGTCCTGGACATTCGGAATAGGGTACATGTCAGGTTTGGTGACGAGGTTCAGGGCTCTGTAGTCGCCACACACCCTCCAGTCGCCGGGTGTTTGCTTAGGAACCATGTGAAGAGGCGATGCTCAGGGACTCTTTGAAGGACGAATGATGCCGTCTTGCAGTAGTTTGTTGAATTCCGCTTTGGCTGTGTTCAGGAGCTCAGGGCGCAGACGGCGAGGGCGTGAAAAGACTGGTGGTCCTTCGGTTTCGATGTGGTGGAAAATTCTCGACGTAGGTGGTGGGGGTAGAGAGACTCGGGGTGAGAAAAGCTCCTTGAATTCGTCGAGCAGGGGGGAGAACTCGTTGGAAGGCGAGAGACAGGTGATAGTGTCGTGTGTCTGGCATGAGAACCCTGGACCTTGTGTGCTGTAGGCTCATGGATGAGGCATAGATGGCTTGGGTCGACGCCAAGCTTGTGGAAAGTGAGGAAGTCGAAGCCAAGGATGGGTTGAGACACGTCTGTCCACGAATGACCAGCGCAGAGTCTTGGGAAGACCGAGGTCTAAGGCGAGGGTGCGTGCACCGTAGGAGGCGATGAGGGTACCGTTGGCGGCGAACAGGTAATAAGAGAGTTGCTTTGACGTGTCTTGTAGTGAGGGAGGGATGATGCTGACCGATGAACCTGTGTCGACGAGGAATTTCGTGCCGGAGGTGCGGTCGGTGATGTGCAGTAGTGAGACGCCTAAAGGAACGGGGGCTGAGGTGTCTACCAGTCCCCGTTGTTGCCGTTTCCCGAGTAGGTGCAGTGGGGCTCACAGTGTTGAGCGTTGGAGCCGAAACGTCTGTAATACCAGCATAGGGTAGGTCCGTTGTGCTGGAGGCTGGCGGCGGTTTCCGGGGCAGGAAAGACGCGTCAGAGATTGTAGGGCGCGGTGCGTGAGCCAGGAAGGGGCCCAGCAGCAGGCATGGGATTGTAGGGCATGGTGCGTGAGTCAGGAACAGGCCCAGCAGCAGGCATGGGATTGTATGGCGCGGTGTGTGAGTCAGGAACAGGCCCAGCAGCAGGCATGGAGAAGCAGAACTGTTCAATGGTGTCCATCCTGCGGTTCAAAGTCTGCAACAGGTCCCTGATGTCTTGTGAGGTATTGCTCGGCTGAGGGTTGATGACCCTGCTTACAAGTTCGGGGGTAAGTACTGGTGTGGTCGTTGGGTTCTTTGCACCGGCGAGGCTCGCAGCAGCGCAATCGTTGAATATCCTGTCTGCCGAAGTTGTGTAGAGTTCTGGTGTTGTAGAGTAATCTACTACGGACAGGGTGATGCGTCCCTGTGTGGGGAGCTTTTGTGCGTGAAGCTGGTTCAGGATAGAGTCGGGGAGTCTGTCTGTGTGACGGGAGTTCAGCCTACGCATCTCCTCCCAGAGACGTCCCGGGGTTGAGTTTCCGCGGGAGATAGAGGATAGGTCTTGCAGGAGATTGGGGCTGGTTTGTTGATAACGCGTCTTCAAGGAATCCCGCAGGTTAGTGAATTTGTTGTCATCTGGAGGGTTGGAAATGGTCTGTGAGACCTGCGTGGCGACATCCGTGGGCAAGGCACATAGCAGGGCGCCATACTGTTGCTAGTCAGTAGCTTGTGTGCCGATGAGGGCTGCTTCCACATGAACTAACCAGTCCTCGACGTTGTGGTTGAAGGTTGGTAGAGAGATCCGTCCGTCCATTCTTGCGGAAGTGCGTCAAACCTGTTACGGAAGGATGAGGGATGGGAGCTTGTTCCGACCCCCGTATTCACAATCTCCTGGGAGGGAGGTGAACAGTTGCAGGGAGGACTTCGGGACGAATACACTTTTTAGGGTGCAGGTCCTTAGGCCAGAACTAAAAAAAACAAAAGAAAAATAGGAGAGTAGGCAAAAGAGCTCAAACCACGTTTGGAATATCGCACAATAGTTGCTCTCCGGCTGTGATGTGGGTCACTCACATCGCCAATGGGGAGAACAGACTAATGCGTTACAAACCTTACGGTCTTGAGATGTGGAGTAGCGGGTGGGGCAGGTGGCCCGGACTGGCAGCAGACAGCGATCCTCACAGTAGCAGCAGAGGGAGTGTGGTGCTCACAGCTCCGATAGTAAGGCAGCAGCAGAGGGAGAGTGTGGTGTTCACAACTCCGGGGTTCACCATTTGTAGCGGACTGTATGTGGCCAGTTGTCAATTCCCTTTAGTTGTCTATTGCCTCTTTGTATGGGCACACAAACGTACGTACATGTAGATATCTCACACTCAGGAATGAGGTAGAATAGAAACTCACAATGCGTTTTCTGTATATATAGTGTTGTACAGTGCAGTGCTAAGGAGTTACTAGGTGAGGAGTAGCTTGCTCAGAGGTCCTGTTGGGCGAGGAGCTTTCTGAGGGAGCTGGGTGGTGAGGCGCTGGAGAGAGATCTTGCTGGTCCAGAAACATCAGGATTTGGGGTGCGGTTAGCGTGAGAGCCAATCACAGAGGAGGCCAGGAATCCCTGGCACTCTGTGTCCTAACGTTGCTACTTGTGGGTCCCGCACTGGAGAGTAGGTCTACCAGCATCGCTGGCTGTCCCAACTTAAACCCCCTCACGCAAGCTGTGTTTAGCCACGGCACCTTTACCTCCTTCTAAAATTCACTTCAATCCTCCCTTTATCCTTCCCCTGAACCTCCTTCCCCCCTGTCACTAGCATTATGTCATGTGGCTGTACGCTGATTGGCTGGGAGGCGCGCGGGAGCTCAGTCGTCACTTGTAGGGGATGGGGACCACTACAGTACATCCATCATGAAACTAACAAACCAAAATTAATCTCCTGACCCTAACTGCTTTTTCTGTTTTAGGATCATATTGTAAAGAAGTGTGTAATATACTAGGTGTTGTTTTAGGTGAATGTGCAGATATGCATACATTATACGTACAAATTTATGCCCAATTAAAAATAAATTAGGTAAGTAGTGTATGGTGAGGCCTGTAGCCCCTTCACCACTGATTGTAAACAACACACTACAAGGTGAGTGACCGGATGCTGCACCTTTACTGTTTTATATCATTTATCCCTGTAAAGGTTTATCATCCACTGGCAGATCAGATTCAATAAATTCAGTGAATATTTGGTCTCTGTGATAAAATTAAAATAACAATTAATGTTTAGGGAAGGAGAATATACTGAAGTAAGTCTGCCATCATTGCTACAGGTATTACAGGGAGAATTTTGATGTGGCAAGCATAAATACAGAGGAAGACCACAGTGCTTTATATAAATGGTCAATTTGTAGTTTCGGTCAACCACGGCAAATATCTTAAATATACCGGGGGGATCCAGGGAGCAGAGCCTCCCGGTTAGGAGGCTAGGTTAGGTAATTTTAGGTCATTTGCGAGGGAAACTGTCGTAAAAGAAAATTGTCTAAACCATAGGAAAAACACATTGCTGAACTTGAGATTCGTGGTTGGTCGAAACTGCAAATTGACCATATAAACTTATGAAAGGTAATACTTTGGTTAATACTGGGCAGGCGGCTAACACCAGTACCTAGTAGTTCGATTTCATTAATTTTTTCTACAGGTGTTCTTTGGATAACAGTAAGTACTGTATTTTTTTTAGCTCTGCTCTATCTACAATCTTAAATCACATGAAAGATGAGGCAAATTTCTGGGTAAAACAGTGAAAACATGATCATATGACAAAAGATGTCTACTTGCTTTTTCAATGAATAAATTAATTATTTATTAACAATATTCAGCCGAAAAATCTGCCGGGTCTTCATGTGTTATTTGTTTTTTGTTTGATTACGAATACTTACGTTCACAAAATATGTAAAATTAGACCATGCTGCTTCAAGAAAGCTGCTTCTATTAGTTCAAGACATCAAAGTAATTTTTGTTTAATATGGCTGGGGTCTGCCCCCCCCCCCCAGCTACGAAGTTAGGTATGGTTAGGTAGGATTCTTTGGTTGGTTAGGTTAGGTTCTATTAAGTTCTGTGCTTGTATATCGTTTTTATTGCTTACTATCATCTAAGGAACATCAGTGGAAAAATGAACGAAATCAAACAATGCGTTCTGGTGTTAGCCATCTGCTCCAGGATTACCAAACTCTGAAACATGGTCCTGGGTTAACCAGTAACTAATGAAAACTTTTCTGTAGAAGATAACTTTGATAGTATAAATAATAATAATAATTAACAGTTTATTGAAAGAGCATGGCAGCCGGAAGGCTGAAAATATACATTTACATAATTGGGGAATGGGTCTCTTGATTGACAAATAATATACAAGTAACATAAGTGATACAAATATGATATATAATAACTAGGCAGGGAGAAGCTCAAACTACAGGGCATTTCAACATAGTGACAGTGCAAAAAGTAAGGTTGACTGGGAGTGAATACACTGGTTGATTGCACGTTATTGATAATTTTTACAATGGTTGAGACTGGGCTGTTCTTATAGCGATCAGTTCGTGCTCATATGGTCTGGATGTGGTTGTGGTGTCAAACAGCAATTCTCGGGCGAGGGATCTCAGGTGGTAGTAGGAGCCGGTGTCGAGGATGGTGCAGAAGCTTCTCACCAAATTTGCAGATGAGGTCGTTGTGATGGTCAGTGAGAGCCGACAGGGTCAGTGTGTTGAGCGCTTCTTGATATGTGGAGTAGGAAGGGGAAAGAATAATCTTGCATGCCCTCTTTTGCACTTTTTCTAGGTGTTTACGTTGTGTGGCATTTAGGGAGGAAGGCCAGGTAGGGGAGCATAGGTGAGCTTGGGAATTATGAATGTTGAGTAAACACTGAGGAGCTCGGGTGCAGGAACTCCGAGGGACTTGAGTTGGCGGAGGAGGTGGAGACGAAAACTGGGGGATTTGACAACTTCACTGACGTGTGGTTTCCAATTTAGTTTGTTGTCTATGGTGACGCCGAGGAGCTTAGTGGAGTCCACAACCTGGAGTGTGTTGGGACCTAAAGTAATGGAAGGGGGTGGAACAATGTCAGATGTGAGGTTAATGTGCATTACCATGGTCTTGGTATGGTTGATGGTGACGTGGAAAGAGTCAGAAAACTTGGGTATATAAAACTAAAGGCCGCAGTTGGTGTAATAGTATAGAGTGAAAACCATGGATACACGGAATCAGTTTTTGTAATGGTTTGTCAGACTATTGTCCTCATATTATTTACTGTCTTTTTCATTCTTAGGTATAAGAGTATCTGCAGGAAGTGACAGATTAACTATGAAGAATGTCTGTAAACCTTGCCACTGAGAAGAGCGCCATCTTAGACCACGAGTCCTGGATATTGCAACTAATAAACACCTACAAGTTAAACCTCCATGAGGATAAATCAGTGAAATGTAAACGATGGAATTTTCAAGATTTGTTTGATCTGCGAACACCGTACATGATGGTAAAGTTTTTTGTGTCGAACCTTAAATAATTATTTTCGGACATTCTAACGTAAATTTAATGAGGGAGAAAATTTAGAGTAAGAGTTCATGAAAGTATGGAATAGAGGAGAGTACAGTACTGTATAAGAGTTACTACAAGTTTATATCTGCAGACTTGTAGGAACTAGTCTGAGAAGATGTGGTTAATTCTTTCGCTGTGATTCCTGCTGCCACCAGACAATTTTATTCAGCCTTGGGAAACCTTCATCAGCCAAAGGGTTAAATACTTGGATCAACTTCTTTGAAATAGAATACGGTACAGTATTAAGGGATACCATACTATAGTTAGTGTGCTCTGTATATTACAAGTTTTATTCTGTATATTGAATTTGTTTTTGTTTTTTGTTTTCCTTAAGGATGGACAAGCTGAGAAAGTAGCCAATCAACTTGAAAGAAAAAATGAAGTTATTTCAGAACCAAAGAGAAAAAAGAGAAAGAAAGGTATGTACTGTATGTTCATATTATAAGACAATTGGTACAGTAGTAGAGTAAGAAATGTTTCGTCACTGAATCGGGTGCTTCAACCTCTCCCTCTCACTCGGAAACAATCTGTATGCTGTTAACCCGGCACCAAATTTTAGGAACATTAGTTAGTGAAGAACACATACTGTATGCTATGTCTGGGGAGGAACATGGATCATCCTCTCTCTTTGACAAGCAAGGGGTAAGAAGTGAACTAATGTATATGTGATCTAGTGCCCTTACCCTACCTCTCCATCTCCTGTCTAGACTTCATATGTAGGGAAAGATCAGACAAATTTTGTTGTCAAATCGGTAATATTTAAGGACAGTAGCCCAGGTTATCCAACCACTTGAGGAAAATCTTTGGAGAGGAAAACTTATTTCTTACCTCGAGACTAAATCAGGTGGAGAAATAGCACTTTTCCTATTCATGTTTTGTCTTTAGTTTTACCTATATATTTTAATGATAACATTGCTATCACACACCTGCTTTGACAAGGTCATCTTGCATGTGTCAAATGGCAGATGAATACGATAAGTCTTGTCTGTCTGTTATTTCCCCACATAAACCTAATATTAACCTAAGATAATAAAATTACTTTTTGATTCCTAATACTCGAAGTGTACCAACATTTGTACTGTACATTTCAGAACACTTGACTCAGAAAGCAGAAGAAGTAGAGTGTGAGGTGAGGCACATCCAGGAAGTGTTCACCTCTCTACGGTTAATGCCAGAATTCAAGCTCAAGTTCCAGTTTATCCCAAATATTGAGGATTTTAGAAGCAATAATTGTCTTGTAAGGGATTTAAGGAAAAGGTAATTTAACTGACATAATAATACAGTAATAATAATAATAATCTCTTAAAAATTAGGAGTATTTTAGTTAAAACATTTTAACACTATTTGGGGCAGAGGTTAGCTTAGGTTAGCATTAGGGTGGTTAATCTTTAATCAGTACTGTAAACATGGCTAATGGATTCATAGCATCTACAGGATGAATCACTTCTTTAAAGAAATATTTAAAGGGAACGACCTGCCTAAAGATTATAAAAACAGTGTGTTTGAGTCACTTAATGTATTGTGTTGTGAGGGTAGACTACAGTTTACAGAATATTTGAGATGTACAAGATTTTATTGAAGGTTTGAACCAGATGATCTGTTATTGGTGTAGGTTGGTGTCTCGTGTTGCAGGTTTACTGAAGCGTCCAACACTACACTGCCTCAGCTTGATGAATATTACGATGGCCCGCACTTTGATACCAGAGTTGTCAACGGCAGTAAATACGTGCTACCTCCAGATGTCCGATATGTGTGTGATGATGTGTCTAACCTTGCATCACATACATTAGGAGCCAAATTTGACTTGATTGTTATGGATCCTCCGTGGCAAAACAAATACGTGCGGAGACGAACCCATAGCCACGGAAGTCATCACGGGTGAGATTGCACATCTTTTGTATACAGTTACCGGAAAATATGATGCTTTTCTCATACTACAGACAATGTTTTAAAATGCTTAACTTTAAGTATTCTTCTGAACTAGTGTAGCCAGTGTCATATATGCACAACTTGCACTTCTGAATTTTACAGATGTACAGTTCCAAACAAATGTCCTGTCACACTTCTGCTGCTCCACGAACCCTAAGATTCAGACTCATGAACCCGAAGCAGTAAACACTGATGCATTATACTATCCATAAATGCTTCATGTTGACGAGTCTGAATCTCGGGGTTCATGGAGCAGCAGATTTGGGGATCTCCTGAAGAATCTCTACCACAGCTTATTTCACCTCAAGATTAACCACCCTAAGTAAACCTAACCTAACCAAATCTCATCCTCCCCAAATAGTATTGGGGTTATTGAGTACAAATATAATTACAGTGGAATCTCATTAATCTGAAAAAAAGACTTAGTAGTACAATAAATAGTAAATGACATTGCAGGAACTTTTTAATATGACCAAGAAATGTGAATGGCCAAGATCATCAGCTTAGCCAGTCACCATGACCAATACCTGATGCACCTGAGGAGATAAATCCTGATTGGTCCTCCAGCAGCTTCCTCACCTGTCAATATTACCTCAGCCTCTCCTTTTGTCCCCTGCCTTTAGTTTTATGTTGGGTAAAGTACTTAAAAAATTTGTAAATTTGGGTATATTTACCCACTCTAAAAGCCAGAAAATTCTAAAATACAATAACTGTCAGGTAGCAACCATACTGGATTATTGAGTTCCATAGGTAGCTAGTTTCAGAAATTCATATCTGGTGACAGTATCTTAAATTTCCAGCTTGTAAAATATGGGTGTGTGTGTGTGTGTGAGGACATAGGGAATATGAAATAATATGACTTTCATGCATGGAAGAAACCATTTTCAAATATTTAAAACTTTTTCCACAGGTATGACATGATGACTGTAGCGGACATCCTACACCTTCCAGTGGCTGATTTACTTAGTGATGGAGGCCTCCTGGTTATCTGGTGCACTAACAATAATTCAATTGTACAAGAATTCCTGCAAGGACTCCATGCCTGGGGTGTGGAACTTGTTGCAACTTGGTATTGGCTCAAGGTATGTTTTGAGGAGTTTCTTGGAATAGTTCTTTTCTACACTTGTATGTTCATGTCCTGCATACATCTCACTTATTAACTCGTTTGTTACATTCCAGACCTGACACAATTTACTTCTTTCTTTTACCTAGACCATCTTTCTCCATATTTATGGTCATTCACCTTGTTCTGACATTTTCCCTTTTATATGATTTCACATCTATCGTGAGCTATTGGCATGTTATCCCACCAAGTTTTGTAGCTAAAACCAAGAAGACCTTGAGGATGCTATGACTGAGGCTTATCCATTGAGTCAATATAGTTTCCTGAAAGCGAACACATTGTCATGTCACATTGGCTCCAGCCTTGCTATGGACACATGGTTACCTAGACATACAGGATACGTAAAAGTCAGCAGCATCCCACAGTCTGCCATCTAATCAACTGCACTTCTTGTGTACCCACCATCCACACTCATTGTACATTATCGAGTTACTGCCACCACCTTTCTTACAGACAGCATAGACATTTTCCTCTTTTCTTCATAGGTTTCTCACCCAGGCTAATAATCATTACTTTTGTTTTCACCACATTTACTCTCAAGCCCTTTGACTTCATTCCATCCTTCCATTTCTCCACTGCCTCTTTAATATTATCTGCTATCAGCACAGTCATCAGCATGCAACAACTCCCAGGGCAGACCAATCCTAACCTTCAATTTCGTATAATTTATATTTTGTAGAATTATGATGTGTCCTCAGTTTTAGTCTTTAACTGGTGTTGGTTAGTTTTAGATTTAGTGATGTTTCATCTGAGGTTTCTTGGTTGTGGAACAAGTATATTAATTCCTTGGGGCACTCCTGCCTTGTGTTCTCATGGTGGATATTTCATGATTTTCCAATATACAATAATTGCACATCTTCTACACTCACCTGCATGGTCTTGTTCATGGGATTTGGGAAATGATTTCATATCACCCATCATTGAGGCAGTGTGATGTGCAAGGATTTTGGGGCTTTGAAACTGAAAGCTAAAGAGTTTCCAGGGCGGCAACGGTCAGCTGTAATGTAGAAGGATTGACATCCCTCGGGTGTATATCTGCTTAGTTCATAGAGGGTGAGATGTGATGAACTACACAACCAATTAATTTTATTGTAACAAGAGTTGCTCGTCTTCTGGCTGTTAGAAAATAGGATATCAGGATAAAATCTTACATTGTAAATGGTTTTTGGGAATTACTTTACATTAATTTGACAGGTAACAAAAGCTGGAGACCCTGTCACACCACTGGAAGGAGTATCTCACAGCAAACAACCATATGAACGAGTCTTTCTGGCTAGAAAGTGTAAGCAAGAGATTGTCCTAAAAAATATCCCAGATTGTTTGGTGTTCTGCAGTGTTCCAAGTGGAATACATTCACACAAACCTCCTCTACATGGTAAGAAATGCCATAAATTAAGGTACAGGGTATTGGTATATAATTTGTACAATGATCCTCCATATTGACACCTTGGTCATGTGCTCCCCAACTTCATCATTCCTTTTATATCCAGCGAGTGTGCACATGGAGGAGAGTAGTGTACAGTATGTATATATTTGTTTAGCAGTAATTGATGTAGATGTGTCAGCTACACATATTTATAACCCATGAATAAACAAACTACAGATTTTCTCCTTATTATGGTAAGAGAAAATCAATATCTATCTTCATAAAGTTTGATAATTTAAAATGTTATTACCAGTATGTCTTTCATATAGGCTCGAGGTTCAGTACTGTATGTTATGTCTCGCCCAACAGGTCTTGTGTCAGAGTTTATCACACCTCAGCCACGTTGTTTGGAACTGTTTGCTCGGAGTCTAACACCCGGGTGGATGTGTTATGGCCTGGAAGTTTTGCGATTACAACATTCTTTACTCTTTGAAGAATCAGTGGCTGGAACACATTGATTTTTTTTGTGACTGATGCATAGAACAGCTATTTTTGGGTCACCATCATCTTCCACTGAGCACTACTAACTGGTGGCACACATTGTAAGAAACAGTGAGTAAATAATATGAAGTATTTTATATTTTTAGGAACCCCTTTTTTTCCACTGAGAATTTATTTTTTTTAATCTTGTTAAAAAGTACCACAGTTAGCTTAATCTTCAGTTTATCAGGACAAAAGGACAGAGAAACTTACAACAAATCTAAAAAAAAATTTACTAGTCTTTACATACATGAATATTTCAATTGCAGTCTGATTCTAAAACAAACTGGAATGGGCACATGGAAAATAAAATGGTGTTTATACAGTGTTTTAATTACTAAGAATAGACTGCCACATGTTAGCCATGATCTTTCTCAGTAAGACTGCGGGCATCATGGATAAGATCCACCTATTATTTTGTACCATGTTAGCACTGTCTGAGAATCAGTGTCCAAGTTCACATTAGTAGTACACACACTGCTATGCAACTACCAAGATGACTACATAATTTTCTGTGAATAATGAAGGCTTCGATTAGTAAAAGACAAAATGAGAAGCAACATATCCATCCACTTAGTCAGAGAAATGCCTCCTAAAAATAAGAGTTGTGATCACTTACATTACCCTTTTCTTAAAGGAATATAGAACAGAAATATTAGCAAGTATGAAATTGCAAAATCTGGCATTCCATCAACAGTCCTCTTAAACTTGAGCCATTACAATGATTTTGTCCATGAAGTGGTCCAGTTACTATGGAAACATTATATAGGTAATTATATAAAATAGAACTTGGAGGTTTCAAAAACTTGTGTCAAAATTTACAAAAAACATCTATTTTCACACATTCATTTCTAATTATTTTGGAGACCTACATGTATGTAAAGTTGAACCTGAAAAGAAAGAAAACAAAAATCATCAAAATATATAATGAAATACATAGTTACTTTAAATTTTGGTCAATTTATATCTGGCATAATTATTGAAGTTTAACATCTGGTAACAAAGACTAACAAAACCAGGTATATACAGTACAGTATAAAGTATATTACTATGTCTGGGTGTTTTGTTAACTATCTACAGCTACAGTATTTAATATATAGTGCTGATCGAACCCCTTCAATAAGAAAACACTTAAATTGGAAGTAATAGTGTAGTGGATATAATGTTGATAATGGAGGGGATGTAGATGATATAGCGTATTAGTATAGCATATGTAGCATAGTGGATGTAGTGCTGATTGTGTAGTTAGCTGATAGGTTGGATATAAGCTGCCCTCAAATGCTAACTTATGCAATGCCAGACACCCTCAGCTAGTTGCTTTTATAAATAATGTATGATTGAGGGGAAGAAACAAGTGACATGTGAGATCCATAATAGTAAATCACACTTCTAATGCTGGAGAGACAGACATGATTAGTGGCAGAATATTCTATCAATGTGGAGAAGCTAGTTTACTGTACTTGTGTTTTCTCAGATAAAAAATATATTTTACTTCAATTCTTTATTTATGATGTACAGTACACAGCATTAATGAGTGACCTACAAGATTCTAAACCAGCTTGCATCAGGATTCTAGTTCAAACACCCTAAGTAAGATGTAGGGACTCAGTTAAGTTTATGTACTGCCAAGCTTTATCATACAATCATATCTCTTCTAAAATGTTATCAGAAATCTTTGATAAGAATTACAATAATATGAAAAAACAACTTAAAGATCAGACCAACATCAAGGAAAAAAATAATTGATCTCAGATGTTTGTTCCTTGTGCCAGAATAAATTTGGAAATGAGAGAATAAAAATACCTAGGGAACACAGAGATGGCAAACGTTTAAATCATGTGCTCTGGTCATGAAGCTGAATTAATTTAATGTGATTTTTGTCCAAGAAAACTCTGCTTAAAAAGAAACTTGGCAACTGAACATCAATGTATCCTCTTTATGGTGTGTTAGTAACATATGGTTTAATGACCCAGATTTATAAAAATTATTTTATTGTTGTCTTCTAAAATTGAAATTTGTATGCCTAAAGTCTTTGGTTAGGGTGAGTTGCATTCTTTGTTAACATTTTAAGCACACAATTTACCCCTTGCGTATGGGGTCCCCTCTGTGCTGAGTACAATCATCTGGTGTTAGCCAAATAAAATATTAAAAGTGGCATCCCCGTTGTGATGAGGTTAGGTAAAAGCCGTTTGCACACTAACATTGTTAAACAGGTAATGAAAATCAAAATCTTGGACCCCCCCAAAATATAATTAAAGAATCATGCAGCTGGAATGACGAGGAACACAAGCCAAGTAAACCTGAGAGATGGAGACATGAACAGAGGAAACATGGTTACCTTTAATGGTCAACACATCTATATTATATAAGAAGACTTTTCCATAGATAAAACATCTTCTATGTAGTTAATATTACAAATTTATTATATGCTGGGCAAAGATATAACATGAGAGGTAACTCAAGAACCCACATACAGTACTGTATTATTACTACATATGCGTCATTAGTCAGTCTTGTGGATAAGTCGACCCCAAACTTTTTGCCAAAAAATCCTGACTCTTTACAAATATCTCATGAATATTGACCTTAGCTTTGGGGATACATAGCAGTGAACCTAAACACCTGCATGGTATCAGTCACTCACCCCAATTTTATCTGATTTCTTATATAGATTCCTTCCATCTCTAAATATCCTGATAATTTTTTTTTACCCTTATTAACATTGCAAAGTACAATAAAAAAATAAACGAGTTACAGTGTTTGTGATACAGTAGGAGCATGCTTGCCTCTCATCACTGTATACTGTACTAGGTTCAAATTCCCAGATCAGATGTGAGAAGGCTGGTATTTAGTGTTACAGTACCTGATGACAACTGGGTCACAAGGGTTGTGCCCATCCCCCGGTCTCTTGCTATATTTCTGGGCTGGTGCCTTGGGTTTGAGGTGGTGAGTGGGAGGAGGGAGAAATCCTGTTCTGGCTTTACCTAACAGTTGCCATCAGGTAATTACAGCTAACCCACGGAAGTGTGGAAAATGGTAATAAAACCTTGATGAATAATAACTTTAGTGCCATAGTCAAATTTTTGACCCAATGACCAGACAACCACCAGAATAAAAGGGATCAAATCTTCAACAGTGTGAGAAACACTACAGCAGAAGCTGCATAACAAAGATACAGTATCATGCCACCATGCATGTCAAGCCCTCTAATAAATGGCAGACTAGGCCAAAGAGTACTTAACTGTTTTGGATTTTGCAGGTCACTTTTTTATGACCTGTACTGTAGTTCATAAAATTGATTAACATCAACTTGATTATGTAAATTGGAAATATTACGTTTCAAAATACATTTTCTGACATTTTGGTAACAAATCATTCTGCACAAAGATTCTTACAGTTTATCCTAAAATCAACTATTTACAATGACATGAGCTATTGCTATTTTGAACTATGAGATCCCACTTTCATCCTTCACATACAGTACACTGATCAAATAACACTTGCCCACCACTATCACTGAACATCAGGGGCTAATATTCTTCTTGCATTCAGCACATGTGACTATATGACATTTAAACCCACAGGCAACTGGATTCTTCTTCCTGTACCTAAGAGTAAAATGTACCACTAGATTTGTGTGGTAGTTGGTGATTTATGCTTCAAATACTCAACCAGCAAATGTCTTTTATAAAGATGGGCAGGCTGAATTCAACATAGCCCCACTAAACTTAATTTGTACTTCATTTGTGGAGAGTAATAAGATCCATAAGAATCAAGTGTTGTAGGTATGGCAAGATTACACACAGTACATTGCAACACAGGCCACCAACCTACTGAACCCTCCCAATGGACCTTTAATCTAAGAAATGGGTGTCAGATAATGGCAGTAAAAAGATGTTCAACGTCAAAAGTTTACTATTACAATGGTTCTTCACTACAAATGATAAAAAGAACAAAAAAAAAATTATAATTGATTAAAATTCAAAAACAGCATCAAGAGAATTACAGATATTCTTGTAAATCTGATGAAGTTGTCAAGTCAGTATGTAGCTTCAATCATATGTAAAAAAAATGGTCTGACATATCTTTCACATTTGAAGTTATCATACATACAAATATTTCTTAAATTATAAGACTAATAAATAATAGAGACTTGTGTTACAATGATCAGCTAGGTATTAGACATGAGATTGACTTTAACATGAAGGCCAGTCTTAGCAACAGGAAGTTTCAGGGGCATGAGATAAACTTTCAAACAAGGAAAGTTTCCCAAGTGCTATTAATCACCTAATATTTGTTACAATGTTTTCCTGAGAAATATCTGTTGAACTTTCTAAGATGATGACTCTATTTGGAACTTAAGTGGTGAGAGTTAATACAAACCTGCACAAAGCCTGTGGCAATGAAGAAATAATTGGTCCATAGCCTTGAGAATTATCATAGAGTTCAAATAACGGTGCTGCAACAAGTTTGTAGTTCTTTGGTACTGCAAATAATGCTGTGAATAAAAAGCCTTATTTTAGTATAATTTCATTGATGATTGTAGTAGAAGATAAATACAAAAAATCCACAATTTTACTAATTTTAAACTCGCAAAATCTAAGGGCCAGCATATTTGGGACTAACACCATCTTGGATCATGAAAATTTTCCAGAAATGGACACTCTTACTATGTGCTGTTGTAGCCCACACCACTAGTTAGACTTTCCACTACTACTACTGCTGTTGTAGCCCACACCACTAGTTAGACTTTCCACTACTACTACACCTGTACACCTTACACACAAACAAAGGGTCTATGACCAATACATTATAAGGCTATTTTAATTGATAAACCAAGCTTGGTCACTATTTAATAATTATACAAAATATGAATAAATAATGTCTAGATAAATCAGATACTTTATGGGATGTAAAAATTAAATGACATCCTCCGCCTTACTCAGTCTGTCAACTCTATCATCATTTCAGTTATCTCTACATCTTTGTTTCTGTGCTCTACAAGTAATTCCAATGTAGGAAAAATAAATCCAAGGTTAGTATATGACCATAGATTATATTAAAAAAAAAAGTTATATAAATGTCAAGTCATATTACAGTATTTACCCTTTTCTCCAAGCTGTACAAGGAAAAGCTTTTTGTGCTCCTTAGGCTTGGTGATGTGTGAGGGTATATAGGGATACTGTGGAGGCTCAAAATTAGGTCTCCACCAATTACCAATGATGTCTTCAATAACCCACTCCTGTGAGACACCATCCTGCCTCCCTAGGGTCTCTGTTAGCAGCCTCTTGAGTCCTTCCACCTCATCCTCATCTGTGTTGAGTTCTCCACCTGGCCTGTTGAGGATGCATAACAAATGCCATCAATTATTGCAATAACGTGGAGGGAGATAATGGTGTGTTTGGAGAGTATACAGTGAAACCTTTATTTAATGGAGTATATGGAGAGAAAATTCCATTATATTGAGGATCCGTTAATGTGAAATCCTCCATCTAATGGATTATGAGAGACGTCCGTTATATGAAGGTTTCACTGTACAGTATGTTAAGTTGGTAGCACATATGGTACTAACAGTAATCCACATCATAATGGGAAATACAAATACAGTAGCATCACAGATTATTCAACACAATGTACCGTAATTAAAAATTTATTAAATAAATTATGAATTACAAAAAAAGTAAAACAAAAAGTTGATAAAGTAAAGGAAGACGTATAAATATGGTATGAACATGAAGGAAATAATTAGTCTTGAAGTATGTGCTGTATGTGATAAATATGAGTTGGTAAAGGTCCTGCATGAGACTGAAATATAACAAGGAAGGAGTGTTGTGAGAGTATGTACAGGTATTATTTAAAATTTCCTCTCCCAATTTAACCTTCACTATGGTGACTGCTTACAGTTTAAAGAAGGTGGTGCCCAACTGGAGGAGCAGCACATGGGGAAGGCCATGCTCGTGGACCAGTAGGACGGCTTCAACACTCTTTCGCATTCCAATCTTATCAAACTCTTCCCGCATCCTCTGGAATCTTGCAGGAACACTGGGATCTCTTTCAAATAAGGGATCCTTTGTTCCAAATGTGTAGTTTGTCAGTGGGTACCTGCAGAAGAGAAATTCAAATTGAGACAGCAAACAAACTGGATGAAGACATTTTCTGAATATAGGAGATGCTTTATTGTAAAAGGCAAAGATTATACAGTCCAGAACATGAAGTAATAAATAAAATATGGGGGAATATGCCAGCTGTGTGAGGGTGTTATCCCTAGTGTGAAACACTGTATTGTACAGTATACAGTACAAGCTTTGTTACTAAAAACATTATATATTATTAATTAAAGAAGACAAGTTAAACAATTTATAAAATTTATTGAATAAGATACAGGTACAGTATTTTGGTATTGCAAGGGTTGATTTTGACCATTTGCAGTAGCTATTGTTTACCTCACTCCAGAAATTTCTTGTAGGTTTACTTTACTGAGGGAAGAACGCTGGCACAGATTCCAGGCGTACCATTCCCCCACTCACACTACCCGGACCACTTATCAAGCTGCAGGTTCAGCTTAGGTCCATCACTCAGTCACACAACAACAATGAAAATGTATGATTTTTTCACAAGCCCAGTTTCCCCACAGATGGATTTTACACAATGAACCAGTACACAAGGTAAAATGGCTGCAGCTCTGCGACTTCCAAAAGTTTGGAGACAGAAAATCATTACACAACCAGTACAGTACTGAAGCTGCTATAAGACAAAAGACTACAATACTGTACAATAGAATCCCAATATAAAACAAAAATTATACTACAATTTCAGTATAATTCAGTGCCCTATATTAATCCCATTTTATAAATATAGTACAAAGTCCAGAGGTCATTTTACCTTAAATACAGCAATGTTTCCTCTTTATGTTAACATGAAGATCTGAACATCCTAAAAACTACTGATTTATTGGTTACTATTCCACAAAGACCAGTAAACAAGCCAATAATGTAAGCTGGCATCAGGTTACAGGCCTAAATAGTATGTCAGTTAGGTTCGGTTCTTTTCGTTTTGTTTTTATTTCCATATTTTCCCTGTGCTTTGAAGCCCTGCTCACCTTTGGTTGGGCCAGCACTGACTAGGTCAGGAGGACCTTAACTCAATAATTATGCATTTCCCCAAACTTTCATTATTACCACTGTATTTAGCATAAAAAAGCTGCATTGTAAACAGTATTTTTCAAGCCTTAATTGTTTATGGGATAATTAGCGACTAATCTTCCACTAAATAAGTATATCTAAACTTGGTCATGTCCTTTACCAAGTTAACTTTACCAACAATCCTTTTCGCTGGTAATAGCAATAACTGAACAAAAGGAAGGTATTTTATTACCAGAAATTTCAGCCCACGCACCACTCAAAGGCTTTCACGGCAAAATAGCATCTTGTTTCCTGTTTACCATACCCGGCAAAATGCAGCAGGCAAGGGTAAAGAAACTGCCTCATCGATAACCGTGTTGAGCCACCTCAGCAGTTGACGGGTATGACGGTCCCTGAGTACACTAATAAGGGTGCCCTGGGCCCTAGCGTGACTGTAACTTCCTATAAATCGCATTGCATACATGTGGTGACATCAGCTCAGTTGAGAGTACAAGTGGCGGTCATTTTGAAGATGCTTCACATTAAATAACTCCGACGTGTACAACTATTGAGACGCAATTTGTTGCTCATACTTACAGACTAATTGTTCTGTTGAGCGCCATTGAGGGATTCCCGTTGTATTTAGCACCATAAGATGGTGGAGTGGAGTTTTTTGGCCATCCAGTGGCGCCCGCTCCCCGCTTCTGAGTCGCCATATTGTAAACAGAGGAAGCCGCAAATAAAGGCTGTGATTGGTCGCCGAGGATAACAACAAACCTTGTGATTGGCTGCTCAATAGCTTGGATAAAACACCTTTCGAATATATTTTTTAGATTTTTTTTATAAATACCTCATTATAATGGCAATTAAATTATATTATAATGAAATCAGAATATTATTTTAAGTTTGTATTTACCTTATATATATCCAAGTCATAATAAAATTCATCTGAAAATATATATTTTTAACCTGACGTTAAAAAAAATCTGAAGTACTGCTGCTGTTAGAAGCTGTGGCGGACTGGTGAAGTGGACACAGGCGATGGAAGGCGAGCATCTTCAAGCTGTGTAAAGGTAGTCAAGGGAAAACCGTATACGGAGGATTGAATTTAGTGTCTTATTCGAATAATAAAAGAACTGTCGTGGATGAGATGAGGAGTTAGGACACCATCTAGAGTTTTTCACCATAGAGTGCATCTCACAGAGGTGAGATACACTAGAGTGTTTTCACCACAGTAGAGTGCATCTCACCAGATGTTACCACAGGTGAGATACACCAGAAAATTTCCGAAAGGTTTTAGAACTTTGGGAACCGTATTATGAATAGTTTGCTCAACAGCTGATCTATACTTAACTAATGCTTGTTCCTCAAACACAGCAGGAGAAAGAGGAGAACATACCAATAAATAAGCACTACCACTTGAAGCATTATTAGTGGCTTGCTTCCTCAGCTGGGCTTTTAGTTTAAGGGCTTTCAACATCTCCATAAATGAGTTGTGCAAGTCTAGACATGACTGAGAATAGTAAATTGGATTTATTATAATATATTCATATCCCCATTTGCAATTATGTGAATTAATTTTATTTATCATTTCACCACTTATCAGCTTATTAGTTAATGTGTTATGATCTTTATTGTCCACAGTCCAGTGTTAGTGCAGACTGTGCAGAAGGAAACGGGTAGTCAACTCGTCCTTTGTAACTTTCGGTACGTGGAACTTCTGGTCCGTCTATACGCGGACCAGAAGTTACCTAGTGGGAGGCAACGCCTGGTATGCTGTGACGTCATCAACCGCGCATGCGCAGTTATCGTTTCGGCTACTTCTGGTCCAGCGTAGAGGATAAAGTTATCAATGGCGAAGAGGAAAAGGACTCGAATTCTTGACATGGTGAATTTAGATGCCGTTTATTTTTGTACAAAGGTAGATGAATACTGTATTCATTAAAATGGTTATATAGTTCACAAACAATAGTAAACAGTAATTCGATGTAACCAAGGGGTTGGTTGGTGATACGGAGAAGAGAGCATTGCTCTTTTTAGTTTAACAAATTTCTTGACAAAGCTTGGAGTACAGTTTGCCTATTCTGAGTAATTCAGTCAGGTCTTGACACTGAGGGTAGTATCACTTCTCACTGCCATGCAGGACAGAGGTTCGTACACAAAGAAATACATCATATTCATGAGTAGTATATATAGGTCAGAGTCTTGTGGGTGATGTCACTGTTCACTGCCATGCAGGACAGTGGTTCATATACATTGCTCTGAGGGTGCAAGAAGGGTACAGTACAAGGTAAAGTTCAGAAGTGGGAAATATAAGAGGAGGTTGACAGCGGGTGGGTTATCCACCTTGCGGGTGGCCGAGGAATACTGTTAAATGTTAATTTCTCACGGCAAAAATAAACAGAGCTTGACAAGGTCTGTATAACTTCTTCGGAAGATTTCATACATTTACCAGATACTGTGGAAAACTGGGAGCTACAGTCGGATATTTACAATACTTACAGCCGTATTTAGAACAGTGTTATAAAAATCAGTAATAGTCTCCGCAATAAATGTATTCTTTAAAATAGGACTATTTTATAGGAAAACGAATTAAGTAATAGATGAGAAACTTTTACATTTGATGATTAAACACCGGTATTATCGGTACTATAATAATAATATTTATGAAGTAAAATTGTCATAGATTTATTATTGGATATGCATGTATATAAACTATGCAGTTATATACTTCTGTATGAATATAAAGTGTAGGTATACGGCACCAACTCACGTCGGGTACTTTACTGCTATATTGATACCCACACGCAGCAGCTGTGTGCTATTACAGGTTTGTTATTTAACAGCCCCACATCACGTTGGTGGTACAGCAGTGGCCAAACTTCAATACAGAAATGCTACACAGCTCTAAGGGTGGTCATAGGGGAGAATGACCTTGTTCAGTAAATTGGCAAATTCATTTATCCAGTGCGCCGTGTCCCAAGACTTAAGAATTTTTGAGGTTGTACTTTATACAACCAACCTTGGGGTCGCCAGTAATTTTTCGTGAGCTGAGAGCCATCAAAGTTTATCCACAGTTGTCCAAACATGCAAAACACGCTAAGACTGACCCGTATTATCGTAATTTATTTTGATTTTTTTCTTAATATTTTCATCGCTGATATTATATACCGCTACATTTCTTGGGCAAGTTTGTAAGATAATTAGGGGCCCGTAAGCTCGCACTAGTAGCACTATACAGTACTGTCCTTCGTGGCGATGAAACGGTATGGCGGTCCGATCCACTCTCGGTGTAGTACAGTAGTCCCCAGCTCATTGTTTGTTTACGAGGCGGCTTCTCTCATGTCAAAAAAAAAAAAAACGTAAAATTACACCATATAGTTTTCTGTTTGATATGCCGGGAAGCACCCCCCTCCCCCCCCCGGCTAGGAAGTTCGGTAAGGTTAGTCTTTGGTTAGGTTGGTGCGTCTTCTAACAACGCTTTGGTCGCTTGTTTCTTGTCAACTACGGTTAGGCTAGATTTCATTTAGAAATAAACCCAATTTAACACATTTGCCCAAACTACGACAGTGTCCTCTGCAAATCATAGCAAAATTTCGGTGTTTTTAAATTTATTTTTTATGAAAAATCGGCGATGGGTTTATCGACGATAATTACCCAATTGATGGTGTGATTCTCAATCTATCCTTCCCTGACCTTCTACTCCCTCAAATGTCCGTTAGTCCAACACACAATGCGTCTCTTGGCTTTTCCTCGTGAGAACTTTGTTGTCATGTATTTCCGGCTAGTGGATTCCACCTCATGTTGGTTTAGTCCACAATGATACTGTTGATTCACACAAACAATGTCTGTGCCCTGGCTCTCCCTTACTCGATCCCTCTGCTACAGAAAAAGAGTACGTTCAGCCGCTCATCACCCTACAAATCACCGTAGAGATACGGAAAATCTTTCTTTCCTTCACAAGTATCGTCGATGTAAATTTTTGGTCGACAGGCAGGGCAATCTTGTCTGTACTGGAATTAGTCTGGGATGTAAATTTGTGAGGAAGAGGGATGCCTTGCACTTGTCTTCTTACAGTATAATGGTACCACAGCTAACACTCTATAATTTGTTTGTGGCACTGTCAGAAACCTACTACAAGGAGAATGCAGTCTGTACCACGAGTTTAGGTGTCATATGCTTGTTTTATGTTGATTTCAATGCTTCCTCTGATTTCCTTAATATTCTTGGGTGATGCAGCACCATATGCACCACATTAATCTTCCTGTATACTCCAAAATTTCAAGTATAAGCCAAATTTTAATTGACTCGTGACGCGTTAGTTGTACCACCACCACCACACCAGATACGATGTTATGTGTAGTCTGATAATTATGTCGTAAGCTAAAGAAATCTACTAAACTTACGAATGCAAGGTAACGTAGACGCACCAAGGGAGGATATTCATGTATGTTATCGGAAACGAACAGAAACAAAATAATGGCACCAAAGAAAGAAACATACAAGAAACGCGTAATCATCGTGGTGGCTGTGGTGGTGCCGTATATTTTTCCCCGCGAGTTAGTAGGGCGCCATAAGCGTGAGTGGTGGTCGGTTACATTTACCCTCCTGCCACCTCTCCCTCTTTACACAGGAACGGCAAAATATTTTCTGATTACCACTTCATACTTACAATTAATTTTAAAAGAAGAAGAGTAGACTTCTGCAAGTTTATCTTTGAGTTGGGGTAATGGATGATTCTTGCTACTGTGATTAATTACTGACTCAAAAACTTTATTCTTCATTATATTTTCACCAAAATATCTGCAGTGCCCTTTTCCTTCACCTTGTAATGTTAAGACGTACAGTATAAACAACACCATCACTGTACGCAGCCTATTATAAATTCTAATATGGCGGTCACCCGGTCAGAGGGCAAAAGTTCTTAAAAATTATTTGTAATTCGTTTTCAACAACCACGTTTTACCAAAAAGTTATTACAGTATTCACAAAAAAACGTCCCGTGTTTAATATAAAAATACCGAAAATACAAATAACGAAAGAGAGCAGAGAATAAGTGTGAGGAAGAAGGAAGGGGATGCACGAACATTATCTAGAGCCCTAAGTGACCGTGCGGCCAACAGGGCGCCATAGTCAGCGGTCCTACCCACACCTCACCTTAAAATTCTTATATAACATACACTCTTCACATTACTCCTCACACACACACACACACACACACACACCTGCAGTGATGCAAGATAATACAACTTTATCCATGATAACAAAAACGGAAATAAATGAAGATGTTGATTTTATTTCGTTATCTGGAATTTCCGGCCAGCGAACTCTGGAGGAATGTTTGTTGTACTGTAATTGTTATTTGATTGTGTAAGTTAAAAGATTAATTTAATCTGAAACCTTGTGAGATAAGATTAAACTATCAGAAATCTTAATACGTATATATAATGATGTAACTGGTAGTATAAGCAAGACTAAAGTTTTCCTTCAATAAACGCCGAGTGACTCGAGATGATACTCGATTTTTTTTACTGCATTAGCAAACCCGGGCACAGGTCACTGACCCACATCAGGGCCTGGGGGCGAATATAATAATAAAAATTATATATTAATAATCAATAAAAAATGTAATTAAAATAATAATAACCATAAATAAATAAATAAAGAGTGAGAAACGATATACAGTATGTATGTTGTGTTGTCAAAGTAAGAGAAACAATTGAGACCCTGCAATTGTGTGTAAATGAAGCAG